GTTCACTTGTAGTTCTGTGGCTGGACTGCATGTGGTATTTCTGGACGAAGTGCAGGTGGTGGTGGTGGTGGTCGATTCAAGAGCTTTTTGAAGTGGTCGACCCATCGTTTCCTTTGTTTCTCTTCTTTGGCAACCAAATTTCCTTCATCATCTTTTATTGGTTTCATGTGTGTTGATCTCTTCCAAGATATTAATCTCTTTATTTGATACAATGTTGTCAGGTCTCTCCTACCAGCCGGCAGCCTGTTGTGCTTCACTTGCCAGTGTGTCGTAGAAGTGTCTTTTGTCTTTGCGTGCACTCTTCTTCACTTCTTTGTCCAGTGTAGTGTTTTATACATTGTACTCAGTTCCGCTTCTCGTTGTGCATCCTTGCACTGGTTTATCTTCTGCTTCACCATCCTCCTCTCCTTGTTCTATCAGCTTCCATGTATCCATTGAGATCCATTCCTTGTCTTCTTTCTTCTTCCTTCCTTATACGGTTGTGCAGGTTTCTTTCCACATCTCTTTCAAAGACTTCCAGTGTTCTTCTACATAGGTTTCTTCAGGGATGTTCCTCGATATCTCCCATTTTGTCTTGATGGCTGACCGACGCGAAGATTTCCTTTGTAGTTTTGTCCTTCAGTTTCCGAGTGTTGTACTTGAACTGTGATCTATCACCAGCTTCCTTGAAGGCTTTCAAATCGATTTGGAAGGTTCCTTGCACTAGACAGTGAGTGGTGTGAACCTACATCTGCTCCTCTTCTTGACCTTGTGTTAAGTAGGCTGTTTGCGTCTCCACTTTCTTTACATTGAGATAAAGTCGATCTGATTTTTAGTGTAGAGTGTCCTGGTGTCTGGTGAAATCCATGTCGCTGACTTGTGGATATCCTTGTGCTTGAACACACTACCTGACTCCAATCACCAAATCGTTCAATGCATAGGAGTCTGCAAACAATTCTCCATTCTCGTTCATCACCTCACCGAGCGCTTCTCGACCCATGGTTGGTTCTCTTCCTGTGTTATCCGCTCCCAGTTTGGCATTCATGTCACCCCACCCATTAGAATTTTGATATCGCCAACTGAGGTCTTGTCCAGTGTTGATTGCAGATGTCTGTAGGATTCCTACTTTTTCTCTTGCTCTGCATTATTTGTAGATGCGTAGCATTGGCATTGTATGATTGTGACCTTCCTTCCTTTTGAGTTGAAACTTGCTGTCCGGATCCTGGATGAGATTGTTTCCCACTGCATGAGAGCCTTCGATGCTGTTGGGGACATCATGATAGCCACTTTAAAACACAGTGTGCTGGTGGTTGTCGTCTGGGTGACAATATTGGAGTAGATTATTGACTCGTCTCCAGTTGACAGTTTGGATAGTCTATTTCCATTCCAACTGCTTTCGCAAGTTCCTAGCACTTTAATGCGATACCTTCTTATCTCCTTTGCAATCCGGGTAGCCTTACCAGGTTCAAACATGGTGCGGACATCCCATGTCCCCATGTTTACTTTCGCTTTCATAGAGAGAAGAGAAGACACATCGGCCCGCCAATTGGCTTCCTGAAGGCTTTCATCAACTGGCGTCATTTCGCCTCTCCGATTCCAGCGAAGAATAATTTTGTCTTCATTTCTTATATTTTGTTTGTGCTTTGAAGTTTGTTTAGCGGTTAGATTTGTTTTACGTGGTAGGGTTGCTAGCTCTATGCCGAGCCTTCCCTCTTTACCCGGGCTAGTAACTAGTGAACTGGTCAACCAGGGGAATACAAAACCAAAATTTAAGAATGCAACGAGAAAGGTGCGTTACCATTGTCCACCGATAGATGGGACTCATTTATTAGTGGAAACCAGCAAGAATACTACAGTTTATCAGAAAGAAAATGGGATAGAGAATATAAGTGAGGAATAACCAATGATTCTTTCGATCACAATTAAAAGAGTGGAGCTGTAACTCACTGGTTTAGGGAGGTGACCACCAACCATTGAGTAATGGGATTGAACCCTGCTCCGTCTACCGAGCCTTGGGGAGCCAGATAGTATCACTAGCCCTTACACAATAGGTTTGGCTCACTGCTTACTGCACGGATGTGCACAAGGTGGCTGAGTGCGTTTCGTTTTTCGCTGTCATTTCCATCAAATGGCAAACGAAACTTATATACTAAACTCAAACATTTCAACATCACAGTTAGAAAGGCTTTGAATATTCAACAGTGATGAAGGTAAGAGCAGAAGATTACACCATATACGTAGGAAAGCTTGTAGAATCCTTACCTTTGCTGTTAACTACTAAACTGATTAAACCATCGTCAACGAAAATCTTCGAGCCTTCAGACAGAACATGAACGATGTTTGGGTAATCTACATATAGGATAGATCCACTGCATGCTTCCATATATGCAGAATCAGTAGTCACACGTATCTTTTGTCCAACTTCAAGAGTAACTTCAGCGGTTCCACTCTGGATAATGAAATACATAATGTGTGATATAAACTAGGTTGCGCAAATACACTTTCAACGAAGAAAAGATAGAAATATCAAAGCAATTGCTTTTAGCAAGCATGTACAAATTAGTGCATTGGAAAGTGCTACACCTAGATTTGTTTTACGTGGTGGGGTTGCTAGCCGTATGTCCAACCTTCTCTTTACCCGGGCTTCGGACCGGCTGGTAACTAGTGAACTAGTTAATCAGGCGAGGTTCGTGTCTGTGTTACACTAAAACTGAATAAATTACATCTGGATTGGTATACACAATGTATATGAAATAGTCGTTTCTTATGTATGCATCTAAAATAGCCTCCATTTGCTTATTTCGCTAATTAAATTATTACTTGTATAGAATATTCATTTCAAGGACATCTGCACATAACTTGGCTGTCCAATTTATCTGTTAAAACCTAACGGCTAAATGAAGTTAATGGTGAAATAAATGATAATAAGCTATAGTACACTGCATTTGATGTTAGATTCTAAGGATCAATTTGCAGAAAGCTTTAAACCTTGATCTCGGTGCCTAAAGGCACTAATTACCAAGGCTTATCTGCAGTCTTGAAGAAACTGATATTCTATCGGAGGCTGAAACCGGCATCACTCAGTGTAGAAGTTGTAGACTTTACCATTATGCTATTTTATACAACGTGATTCGGATACAAATTTGGTCACTGGAAAAGTAAATGGTCTTGCTTATATATCAATTCCTAAGTGCTAATCCATGTTTATCCGTTAAATTCACGATTTTTTCTTTATATATTCTCTCCACTTTTATTTATTCCTATTAATATGCTTTCAGAAATGTTAAGATATTTCTGTAAAACGGAAATATTTTATATCTTTATGTATACTACATTTTGAACAATCTAATCAGCACGTGCGTATATATCAGCTTGTCAAGATATTTTATATGAACCGAAGGGCTATCATCATCATCATCATCTGTTACATAAATTACAAACACCAAAAGTGTAGGAATACCAGAGATATAAGAAGTAAATCTGTAAAATGTTTCCGTAACACACCTTTTGCATCCGTGATCTAAAAAAACAAACAGTGTAAGTGTTTCAAAAAAGTCGCTTCCAAAGTTATGTATAAGAAAACAAACGAGTAGGGTTTCAACAAACTCCTAATCATATATTCTATCTGTGAAGACTGTCCATATTCTGATCACGTGCCACTTTTGTATTGCATTGTATGGTATTTACAAGTGGGAGATATCAATCACCTGTGCATGTATCAGAGTATCACTTTCAAGCTGGGTTTTTTGTTGTTGTTTAGGCATAACATCTAACTGATAGGTGCAATCATTCACCTATAGTTTGCGTTTGGAGCATGAGTTTCTATCTTGTGGAACTATGGCTCATTGGTTTAGAGAGATGACTTTTAACTAATGGGTTGGGGGGTTTGAAACCCCGTCCACCTACTGAGGTTTGGGCAGTCATCTAATTTCGATTCAAATCAGAATTAGTTTAACTGCATATAATGGAGGTTTCTTACTTAATTACTGATGTGTGAGTATTTATTGCATAAATTGAACTATTCTTGTTAGGAATGATACATATGCTTCTCTAGGAGGTAAATACGGAACAAATTGCTTTATTGACTTCTGTTTATGATGATTTGAAAATCTTTTCATTAATGTATGGTCATGCTGTTTGAAATGTATTGCATAAATACACAGTTTGATACAGGGAAAAAACATCTTCACATAATACTATCTATATTTCTTAACATAATCATTCGAGGTACTCTGTTTGTTTGCTTTTCGGAACAAATAACAATCTCAACTAACTAAATGTTTGTCAACTTCTGTTAGTTCATAATGAATTGTCTTCATTAAGCTGATGATATTTTTGCTTCAAAATTTTTCTTTCTCTAGTTGTTCGATACTTGAAACCTCCCGTTGCTATACTGGGCCGAATTCCTCGATCTATGTTGGCAGACGGGTTCCTATGAGGATGCCTTAAAACTGCCTAACTACTGATTATATTGACATATGCTTGGTGGTTAGCAGTGGAATCCAGGACACACGTTCTGTTCTATTTGGGACTCGTCAGCCAGATGTAACTGCACCCCAGTGTGTGATATTGTTCTCATTGGGACTCGAACCCAATGTCTATCGTTTCGAACCTTGGTGGGAACAACACCACTCACTGGAGTTCAGGTGCATCCAGCTGATAGGTATCACATAGGACGAAACGCGCCTCCTGGATTCCACTGCGAGCCACTAAGCAGATATCTTCATCTATTTTGTGACCATTTTTCAGTGTTTTTGTCCATGTTAGAATCGGGCACAAATAGTTTTCATGTTTTTCTCAGACACATCTATCTACCCTCCTGTTTAAGGCAAAAACTTAATCTTGCTAGCAAGTGGGCGCGTAAACAATGAAGACAGGGAGAGTAGGGAGAAAATGAGTATTAATTATTGCTATAATATTGTCTTCCTACAAGTAACAGACTATTTGGAAAATATCAACTTTTTCACCGCATGCGCACAAACAAATACAACCTAGGTCTGCATGTTTTCTACTGTTTACAGATTTTGAAAACCTCATCAATGTCATGCAGTACAACAAAAGGACTGTGTCAGACGAGCAATAATGACAGTAATTCGCCTCTTGCAACTACTACTGATGCTGATAACCATCATAATAACACTCATCATGATTCTAAACGTGCAAAGAAAAGAGACGGTGACTATTGTGCTCTAAGAAATGTTCGAAAACCTATGACATGGTAAGTTAACAGTAAAATTCAAGCTGTATTACTAGTGAAAATTCTTAATCTTGTAACATACATATAAACCATAGTAGATAGCTTCTGTTATAGGATCGTGGTCAGGCTTGCATATCACCTGTCAAATTATGCTTCCATGAGGTCTTACCACGTCAGAAAAATCTCTTAGATAGCGGTAAGACCCAAAGCGGTAAGGGGTTGGAGAGTGAGTTCATACTGCTGATTGTAAGGGTTGTAACAGGAGTAAAATGTTCCCACGAATTAGAAGTATTTCATGCTAATGATACTTTCCCTTATCGCTAAGAGGGATAAGAAATCGTCGTTCCCATTATTCTCACATGCCTCCCTTTCTTATGGCTTTTTGGTGCCATCGGAATGATGTTTTCACCGAGTATGAATGTACCACAATCAAATCTCACTCCAGAACTCCCTAAAAGACCGCGTATGAGTGCCTAAAACGGATATTCTTTGATATCTACGGTTAGACATTCATTTCGTTAATAACATCCCTACTGGTTCAACATTTTTGTCAAGTAACTCACGAGGAAGTGGCCTTCCAATGTGTGAACAACAGGGAAGTGTCAACCAACCCCATACCACTATCAGCGCTCTCGTCCATTCTCACCACCATTTACTCTCGAAATTGTTGCCTTCTAATTCTTCCTCACATCTCTCCATCAATGTTCCTACGTCATGTTGAATTCCTTTCAGTTATGCAACACTTAGTAACCAGTCAACTTGACAGAATAGCCTCGCTAGTGTATTGAAACCGCACTCCAAACTGCATAGCATATCACAGCTTTCAACGTCCACATCCTTTATCAAGTCCGATGACAAGCACTGTGAACCGAGATTCTGACATCTCGGGTCATGGAGGTGGTCTGTGTTTGCCAGACATGCACACAGATGCACAAAGAGGATCCGGGTGTGGTTATTCACTTGAATTCATCCAGACGATTTGGCGAGTTTGCACAATCCACTCTTTGAGTTTCTACAGATTTGATGGCTAGTTCATGTGGTTTTGTGTATATATATATATATATGTATAGTGTTTGGTGATTCATTCATTCATTCAGTCAGTCAATCCTAAGGCAGACAGTGGACTCCTGTATTGTGCTGTACTGTACTGAGTTTCAGTTGACTGACAATACTTTTGGTCTTTCCTGTGAGTGGTTAAAATGGTGAAGAATGGGGTTTCCTTTTTGTCATTTGTAGTTCTATAGCCACTGACTGCAATTCAGGTGAAGTGGAAGATGAAGTTTACCGGGGATTGTTTAGCGTTTTGTCTGAAACCAAGCATCGACATGCAGTCTTCATAAGTTGCAACATCAATCCTCAAGTAGGATGTTTATGCGCGACAGTTTGGCACTTAGATTTTCTTGGGAACTAAGTTCTTGGCTTTGGTACATTTTAAAAGACTATTATGACTCTTCAGTTATTGTAAAACTGATCATAATCCCTGATTTTTATTCAGAGTTAATTATCAGCACTACAAATGAATTAATTAGAAACTTGTTACAAAAAGAGCGAGCCGTCTTTTAATGGCAAGTGTTGATTTTAATTTACTGTTATTGAGCATTCTCGTTGTTTTCCTTAATTTATCTCGTTTATGCTTCATCGAACTATGATGATAGTTAAATTGTCTAGTTTTAAACTCATCATGTTTGAGCGGTTTTCACTGTCGCCTGAGTAAACTTTTCTGTCTTTTATCTTGGTGGCAGCTATGAATGATTTATCCATGACCATTCGAAGGTCATTTGAAGTATGTTAGTTCGCCATATTTGTCGCTCGTTCAGTTGTATCACTTTTGTTTCTCTTCGTGGATATTTTTGTCGACTGGAGGTTTGACACAATTTCTCTTTCCTTCTTTATAGCATTGAGATGTATGTTGAATCTTGGGTCATGAATTATCTAGATAAGAGGCAATTCGAGCCAGGAAATATTTCTTTTTTATGATGTACACATCAATGACTGTACATTATTAGCATTTTCGAAATACGAAACAATATACTTGTCTCATGGTAATAATGAGTAAACAATAAATCTTTGTCAATGCTTCTAGGACTGATAACCAAAGTAATTATAACAGTAGCTAAGGTTTGAAATATGATTACACCGTAAATTGACGTTCATTTAAACAGGTTGTTAAATAGTCGGTATTTTAGATAGTAGTGATTAACGAGAAAAGAGAATGAATGATGGTATCAAGTTTTCAGTTGTTGGCATTGATTAAATAAGAATAACTAACGATAAAAAAGTGGCGTAACAAGATAACTAAAACTGCTGTCGTATTAATATTAATGATAATTGTTTGTGAGATAAAAAACTGAAGGGTCATCTTTGCGTAGATACGTTATATAGATCTCGGAGATGTTGTGTTCTCCGAGATGGATAGTTTGAATGTGAAGCTTTCATTGTTCTCCTTAGATAGCATTATCAGGACAAATATCAGAAAGAACTAGTAGGTTATGTGATTTTCTCTACTAATAGTTCGGTAGCTTGTCCTGATGACCCTGGGTGTGCTTGCTTGTTGCTTCGAAAAATTATCATTGGCTCCACATATTTTGATTGACTATCCCGCTGATGTGAAGTCTGGCATTCTTGTTGTTTCTTACCGTTTGGTAGATTGGGTCGGTGTCAGTGTATTTGTTGATCGCTGACTAACCTGAGTGCTAAGCTTCAAAAATTCTCTGGCACTCTTCGCATTTACTGTCTAAGAAGTTCACATTTTCCCGGTCGAATCCATGTTCATAACTTTTGTTATGTATTGATATGAGCGAAGATATCCCTTGGCTGTTTACTGCTAGTTGATATTCATGCAGATGGACATGAAGAGAGCGACCACCCTGTTCACCAAGGAGGTCAGAGTTCACGTCAGTGGGATAGTCAGTCGAAATTTGTGTAGAGATACGATTTTAGCAGCAACTAGTCACGATTGCTCAGTGATGAGTTTGAAGTAAAGACCGGAGGAAGACAAGGTTGCCTACTATCATCACCGATGATCTTCCTGATTGTGGTCAACTGGACTGGATCATGCAACAAACTGTAAGGAGCGAGAACGTGGATATACACTGTTATACCGATGAAAAGACCCTAGGAGATTTCGATTTTGCCGATGATTTATGTCTAATGTCCCACAAACTTGGAAACCTACAGGCAAAACTAACAGGTTGACGGAAGAGGCAGCGAAGACGGGATTTCCTCCAGGTGAACGTAGAGAAGACAGAAGTGACGAAGATACCCAACCAACAACAAGTACCAATCGCTATCAACGGGAGAAATCTAAAGGAAGTTGTCTCTTTCACCTATGCAAAGCAGCATCGTTTTAACTACAGGCGGTGGCATAGATGAAGATGTCAAAGCATCCAGGATCGGAAAGACAGTAGGACAGACCTTTATTAAACTGAAACCAGTGTGGAGATATACAACATTCAGCATAAAGCGTGGACAAGGTCCGGTTTTCAACACCATGTCAATCAAGTCAGTGCTTCCATATGATTATTCAGAAACTTGGCGCGTTACGGAAAGCATTTCCAACAAACTACAGACATTCATCAACAGCTGCCGCCTACGCCCACTCGATACTGACACTGAAGATCAGATGGCCAGAATAATAAGAATAAGTAACAAGGAACTCTGGCAACAAACCAACTAAGAACCCATCACCCAACAAATAATTAGAAGAGAGCGGAGATGGATTGGGCATACACAGAGAAGGCCAACTGAGGACATCACGCACCAGGCCTTCGAGTGGAACCTGCATGGGAAATGAAGAGTTGGGCATCCGAGGGTGACGATATGGAGGAGATCATGTGAGGAAAAAATGAAAGCTTGTGGGCAGTGGTGGAGTCAGGTTGAAAAGACTGCAGAGAAAAGAGTGAAATGGAGACGTGCTACTGAAGCCGTATGTCCCACTAGGAACTCATGGGATAAATAACAATAAAATATTCATGACACCCTAGGTCATGAGGACGAACTACTAAACCACTGGTAGAGAAGATTTCATAGCTCACTGCTTCTTTCTGCAGATTGTTCTGATGCTGTTTAGAATGACAATGAATGCTTCATGATTAAACTCTCCAGCTCACAGAACGAAATAACACTGAAACCATCGTCCTGAGCTACAAATATTGTCAATCATTACAAGTTAAATAGATGGCCAAGGCAAAGAAAGAGGCCATTCTAATTTATTGTCGTCTGATTGCATTCGATCACTCAAGTATGACCGGTGATTCCTGATAAGTGATGACTTAAGTAAATTTTTTTTTAGTTCTTTTAAATTTATTTTAGCAAATGTAACAGTAACAGTAACAAGCATTAGGGATGTGAAGTATAATAAAAACATTAGAGAAGTTAAGTGGACATTCAGTGGTTTTTTAAAACTGGGATTTAATTATTACTCAAATTTCTTAGTTAAGTTGATAGCGCACTAAGTTCAGCTTATTTTGATTTTGCTACGACTTTGCTTCTCATGTTAAATCATGATATCTTTATTTATGAATATGAACGTATTTCCTCTGTCATACAATTTCCGCAATTATGAGGTCTTGGATACTTATCTTTTTTTTCAATCACTTCTCTAGAAGTTATGTTTGTATGTTTTGGAATCTTAGTATATTTCAGTAAAATTTTGATCGTTATGGGAACTACTTTCAACCACTACTAATTCCTGTTTATTCTATACTTTGATAAGAGGAATGAGTGTTTCCAAAAACCTCTAAAATCCGCTATAAACATACTATACTGTTTTTTGGAATATAGAATTACGCACTGGAATTGATAGTTGGCGATAGCTCAGACTTGAACTTTCAAACCCCACAAGAGGGAACACCAGTTTGTAATCACACATTTGTACATTTCAAAACTTCGGAGTTGTTCGCACATCTGGAACAATACAAGTAGTTTAGTTGATAAAAACATGCAGTCTTACTTTATACGAATTCAGCATCTAGACACCATTCGCTCTACAATAATAACTAAAACGATCTCGTTAACGCATACGAATGTAACGTAGATTGAACAATTAACACGAATCTAATTAGACATGTAAACATACCTCTTAAATTGATGTACAGAATAAGTTATTGGCGCATAGTTTATAGCAATATGGTAAACCCATCGTTACTGACCATACAAACAACACAAGTTAAAGTAATTAACGTTATAATAGCCAGTACAACTGCAGATTTCAACTTTCGGACACTGCCTGGTCGAACAACAAGCATTAATTCCCAGAACTCGAGTCATGGATATACGCTGTGTTTTTGAGACATATGTATACAGGACCCGGATATGGTTATTCGCTTGACCTCACTAGCCAGTGTGGCGAATCTACAAAATTCGCTTTACCAGTTTCTAGAGATTCAGTGGCTATCTCTCGTCGTAGTAGGTATAGCGTTCGGCTGTGGAGCAGAAAATACACGTCTCTACTGGGTACCAGTCAACGACCATCTGTGTATTGTTTGAAGGAATAGATCTGTAAGAAATAGGAAGGATTGTGAGATTTTCCGATGTCTATTCGTATTCTTTGTCTACATACACTCCGACTGCATTTCGGATGATGCAAAAGACGAATTCTATCAAAGCTGTCAATTTCACTTCATAAACTAAAACGTTCTGATACAGTCATAACAGCAGGTGACGTCGGTGCTCAAACAGGGAAGTTGAGCTTAGTCGGAAGAGTGCCTTGGAGGTATCTACAGTATCTCATGTCAACAAGCCTAAAACGGTGGTCACCTTTTACAATTTTGTTCTGACAACCACTTGTTTCTGACCAGCACTAACTTTAAGTATGAGAAGATCTGGCGGCGTCCATCGATACCAAACCAATGATGGATGCAGATAGATCATAAGTCATCATTTAAGAGGATCGGCGGAGGGTTGCCACTTCTGTTTGAACTGTTATGTGTTACAATGGGAAATTCTCTTCATATCATCAAGAGAGTAGCATGCAAGTGGAAGTAAAGCCTCTGTGCTCACTTTGAACATGAAAACGTCAGATATATATTTAAGGAGGAGCAAAGCATTTATCTAAAAATGACGGCCATTCTCTCCTTGATGAAGCTTGATGTTATATTTAGTCTGATGTCAAAACGGTAATATAGACACATGGTAACCTGAATCCGAAGGTTAGCAAAAGCTAGTGCATTTCTGCAATCTCATCCGAACCGTTTCATGCAAAAAAACTCATTCCAGCTTGTTGTGGCTACAGTGAGGAACGAAAGCAGCTTAAATGTAAAATGATTAAGATTTTCTACAATGATCTTGAGGTGTGGTGTATGAGGAAATGGAAAAGTGAGAAAGGCATCAGCATTAGGTAATGGCCGGCAGTTATGTAAACGAATGAAAGGAACTTGTGCAAAGGATATGATAGTTAGTGAGTTCATTATCGAAAAGAATGAATCCTTGATGACGTCTCAGGACGAACGGCTACACGCTTGCTCTAAACACTGAAGCACTCTTCAGCTGCGCCACAGCCACGCTCCAATTACTCATTATTCAGCCTACGGCCTAATAAAACGTTGATGTCAGTCCTACAACTATCCTTGAAGTTGGTAATGCTGTTTCTAACCTGAAGTGATACGAAGCAGAGGGATATGGTTGTTTACCACAAGAATTTTCTAAGGATGGAGGTAGAAAATTACTAACTGGAGTAACTGAGGTACTAGGTAACGTATAGGAATCACTGTTTTGGATCACTGGTCATTCCACCTTATAAAAAAGTGAAATCTTTTTGTGACAAGTGTAGGGGGGATCATTTTAAACGACATTGCCTTCAGGATCCTAGGGTGAACAATTATACTATGCTTAAATTTAGCTGGAGATGAATAAATTCTAGAAAGGTAGTCAGGTTTTGGATTGGGAAGAAGGTCAGTCGATCAAATCGTCACCCATAGACAGGTTCTGTGACACAGACATACCAACCGGTGACCGACACTTGCCATATTTTTCAACTTGAAGGCGGCATTTGACTCTACTGACCAGGAGGCATTGTTACAGTATCTCACTGTAAAGGAGATACCAAGCAAGGTTTTAGTGGTAATCTAGGATCTCTCCTCGGACGGGTGTGGTCACATGAAGTGATGATAACCAGTAGTGTTCTTATGTTATCGTTTTTATGTTTACTTCATTACAGACGTATTGATAGGTACAATCCTTAGTATCTCTGACATTACAGTGATTGATTTCCTCCATGAAGGGCATCTGGTTGACTTGAACTGCGCGGACAACATTTTCCTGTTCGGCAAAGAGGTTGACAAAACGTAGATTCTTCTGAACACCATAAGTGGAAATCTAAATATTTTTAGTATAGGTTCTGTGCCTGTCCGATGGAAGATGAAGCTTCAGGACTGATCTGCAACTACTCCTAATTTAAAAGTGGGAACTTAAATGGTCGGATCTGTCGACAACTCCACTTATTTAGGAAGTTGTATCAGCTCAAATAGCCTGGTTGCTGATAAAACCTCAGCTCGGATACAACTTGCATTGCGTCTGACACCGGCGAGATATTCGACTACTTACTAAAGAATAAGTATACTAGACTTCAGTCTATTCTGTCCTGTTATGCAGCTGTGAAACATTGCAATTGGAAGTAAAAGATTTGAAACGGTAACGAGTTTATGACCACAGGTGTCTTCGTAGCATTGCTCATGTATGTATGGTTGAATCACCGTGTGATCAATGTTGGGATTAGGTGAAGGGTACTAGGCAAGACAATTAAGCTAACCGAAGAGGTTGTGAACCTTCACTGACTGAAGTGCCTCAGGGTGATCAGACCAAAGCATGGTTCCGAAAAATGAGGAAGATATTTGATGACATGGTTGAAAATCCATAATAATTGATGTCTGAATGTTTGAACATTTTAACAACCTTGATTTTCAGACTCTCTCACGATATACAATTTTATTTACTTTGATATCACTATTTTTAAACCGAATAGTTCTTTGCATCCTACTATGAATTTTGGGAACCTGAACCGATCCACTTCCATGCAAGGCTTAACCTTTATTTGTGTGTCACTATTTTAAGATCAGTACGCATTCTATTGGTTTTTTATTTGTATGGAGTGATGGTATAGGTAACTATTCGTATGCTTTTACAACAATCATATAAACATGCACTATTCATGTAGCAGATACGTTTAGGCAAGTTTGAGCCATTTTGCAGGGAGTATTGAGCAAAATTTTCATTCTTCCTGGCATTTATCACACAGAAAACCGATAGCTCTAGGAAAGTAATGTATGCTTACATAAATAGGGAAATGTCTTTAAGTTGGTTCAGTTAAAGATGCCGGGAGTGCGATATTGCAACCGATGTTTATATCTTCGGATTGTTTGAATGAGTTTTAACTCTGGGGATTCATTATTTTCTAGTATACCCGGAGGTGGCTTTTTTTATCATGTACTGACAGTCATAGAAACAACCTCTAAGTCATGTATAGCTTTCATGATGTGTTATTGACTATCAGGGTGGTGCTTTCGCCTACAGATTCACTTAAAGAAAAACTGTTAGGAAAATAATGTATTTTATCAAGTGTCATACAATTCTATGTATCAAAGTAACCGGTTATAGCCAGTAAGTAGTACAGAAATTAGCTTTATGTAGCGTTTAGGCCCTACTTCGATCGCTAATCTGGAAATGAGTTCAAATGTTGCCATGGTTGCATTGCCGCATGATCAAACTAAAGGCTCGTACAAGCTGATATTTTTGAAATCCATAACTGGTAGATGGAGGAAGAAATTGATTGCTCAATCTGTGCTCATAGAATCAAAAGGTAAATAAAGATGTGATAAACATGTTCGATTTTGGGTTTTTACTTTGGTTACCATAAAAGGCTAACATGCTTTACTGCATAGCCTGGAATTCATAAACCTAAGAGCAACGATTTGTGCGTATAACTCAGTAGAGGCCTGATTATCCAATGCAACATATTTCCAGCACTTTTCTATATTGAATAATTCATCAACCGGATTTGTCGAATTTCTGAGACTGCAATGTTAACAAACTATATACATACATGGTTTATTATCATTACTATTGTAATCATACGATAAAATAATAGTGTTCATTAGATTAAATAATCTTATTAATCATTTATATTTTTCCTTTCTTATTCACTGTTCCTCTAATTGACTGCGAAATCTATTCGAATGTGTTTCTGCGTTCATGTACATCATCATCATCATCATCACACACACACACACACCGCTACACCATATTACAAACCAGCTTACCTCATAAACATTTGAACTTCGGTTACACATCGGATACAAAAAGCTGTACACCTGCGCATAATAGTAATAATTATCAAAGTCATAATACGGATACACGGATATCTTCCAAATCGAAATACTGTTACAATAATAATGAATTAGGTAAGCTGTATATGTTTATTTGTGTATTCAACATTTGCCATATTTCTCGTCATTGTGCTTTTGATGTCTTTACTGCTACATAAATGGTTATTGAAAGATATTTTTTAAATATGATAAAACGAGTGGTTCGATAGGAGGAAAGGAGAAAGGAGAAGTGTAGTCAACTGTTGGTCCACACACACACAAACAGCTGTGAGACATATTACTTGAAATATCTGTTAAACGAAGTCACTCATTTAATAATCAACTTCATGGCCTGTGGTTAAGAAAATACTCTTTCGGTAGATTTGGGCAAAGTGTTTTACTGCTGATATACTGATTGTTGAAGTTGTAGCCAATAAGCCCTCTCTTAGACGCAGTATTGTTGCGAATACTGTCCAAGAATCTTCAGTTATATTAGAGCTTTATATGGCTCATTGGCATAGCGATTAATTCAATTTTCAACCGCTAGGTCATTAGTTTGAAACTTACTCCACCGACTGAGGTCACGAAAGCCAGTTAATATCGTTAGGCATTCACTTAAAATATTTGGCTTTTTGCTTAATGTGTGATCTAGCACGTGGTCGCTGAAGTTACCCAATATCTCCTGAGTTACCCGATACTCTATGATTCCTCTTGACTTTTTAATAGAAACTATTTTCAAATTGTTCTATTATAACACAAACTCAGTTTAGTGGTGAAATTTTCAGACTTTTATTGTGGAGTAATTTTGTATAAATGATTAACTAATTTAAGATTGATGAAAGGCATGTCTGCTGCCAGTGAATTCAAATTAACCTCAGCTGAAAAATGTAAATAACTGGATAAAGTTATTGTTTCAATGGCAGTGTGAGAATTCATTGCTTGACCAAATAGCTGACTAACAATTTTTCATTTGTATTGTTTCTTCAATTTCCATTATTGTCATATTATTTTTCCCTTTGGTTCCTAGTGGATCATAGGGCTTCAGTCGCACGCATCCGTTGCACTTTGTTCTCTGCACTCTTTTGAACCTTGCTCCACGACTGCCCAGCCAATCAGTTGGTTTCCTGAGACCAACAATTGATCATTGGCCTCTAATTTTTAATGCATCCTTAAAAAACGTACAAGAGCAATATTTCTGTTGCTGTCCTGAATGCTACATCTTCACCAACTAAAACGAGTCTTAACTGTTGCCATAGGAGGTTTGTGGGGATTTATTTATTGATTTTAGATTGATATTCATCATGTAGTGACATGATTTGGCGAACCATTGGAAACCTGGGAGGACTAGAAAGCTGTTTCGTCTTAGTATGGGATTCCACACCAGTGAGCTAACAGAAGTAGGAAATGTGAACCAGTTGATGCCGACCCAGTGGCAGCGTGCTGACCGTGGAACCTGAAGGTCCTGGGTTTGACCCCTGATGGGGTGGGGTCATGTGTTCTCATTGCAGAGGTGTCCCATGCTAGGACGAAACAGTTGTGCAGTGCTTCTATATTTCCAGCGGTTCTTCAACTAGTGTCAGTCCATGACGAATATCAACCTGAAACTATTACTGATTGTTCAGAGAATAGGAAATCGTTGAAATAACCTCATAAACATTCTGGAATACCTGGATGTTGAGTAGTTACTTATTGTCTGATAGGTTAAACTAATGGAACTGCTTAAAATTGAACTCGTAATAACCCTAACAATAGCGACTGAGACTTCACTAAGTCTCTTTAGAATGAATTGCAGGGAAAATTCTGAAGATACTAGTTATTGAGTCATTGAATAAACATTTAAGTGATTTTATTAGCTAATTTGCCTATCATCTTTGTTTGTTAACGTCCTAAGAGCGCACATCCATATTCAGAATATAAGCTGCTACTCTGGGCTATTTAACCAAACGAGTGTAGCTTGTCAGAAGTTCATTCACACATAGAAATTGCAATTCAATCAACTTGTGGTAAGTAAATGAATTTCACTGATGAGTAAGTGAATGACTTCAAGATATCTATAAAAAGCTTGGACAGACTTCAAGGTTAATTAGATGCTGTTATTACTCCAAATCAACACATGGAAACAGAAATCAATAAAGTAGAAGAAAAATAAATGAGAATGTTATTATCAATAGTTATAAAAAGGCATGAAACAAAGCAAGAAAGCGAATAAGGTTATGAGGCATTGCGATGTAGACAAAGATAAAGTGTGAGTGCATCTTCTATTTTGTTTTACTGTTTTGGTGTATTTGAAAATGCAAACTCACCAGGGGAGTTTTAGAAATATGATGTTCAGGTGAGAGAAGAATCATTGTACTAAATTCCACATTGGTTTACCTTATATAATGTGGCATACAATGATACTGCATGACGTTTCAAGTGCAATTTGTTCCTCATAATCATAGCGATGTGATTATGAGCATCAAATTGTGCTTAAAACATCATCCAGTAAGTAATACTGCATCATTGTATGCTACATTGACTGAGATAGTCTAATATGGAATAGTACTCTAACACAGTGCTCAAGTTCTATACTTGTATCACTGGAGGTGTCCAGACAGATGTAGTTTATGCACAAATCAAATATGAAATGTATGATCAAAGATCCATTTATTGACGAATATCCTGTTGGAATCAACTTTTACCACCTAAGATTTACGCATCCTACTATCTTATACACAATCGTGCGATGAGTCCCATCTGTTGTATAAGGGTTAGTGATACTACCTCGCCATTTAAACCTCGGTAAGATTACTATAAAGCGAAGCCAGACCATTTTCACAGCATATTAGTTTTTCTTTAAAGATGCATTCTATTTCTTAAGTCAATAGAATCATTTCTGAAGATGCTATCAGTACTGGGATTAGAATATAATGAGGTTATTTGGTGAACCGTATAAATGTTTTTAATGTTAATCTAAGTATTTTCACCTATTGACTGAACAGTAGCATACTCATTCAAAAAATCGATAGTCATAATCTCGATCTCTGGTAAGATCGGATATAATTACTTTTGAGGGTTGTCAGTGTCCGCAACCGTGACTCATTAGGATGGACAGTCAACTTTCAAACCAGTGGTGAATCAGGATTATGATTCTATTCAACCTGCTAAGGTGTTTGAGCAATCACGTAGCATAAATGGCTTGTACACAAGAGATGTGGTGTATAAAATTGTAGCATTAAAGTGGAAATTGAAAATTTGTACTATGATTTTTCTTGCAAGTGAATATTTGTTGCATTTCTCCCATTGTCTCTACAATGACATGAATTTTTTTTTGTTTTCTGAGCTATTACTAATACTTATGACTACTGTTGTTAGCTGTTTTGATAAGAACATACTAAAGATATTTTTTTGCATGTCATGTACCTAACAAACAGTTCTTCTGACGAAATATGCCCATTTATTCATGTATCAGCGAAGAAATATTTCTTTGCAGCGACTTCATTATCAAGCTGTACAGTCGTATTTATACTCGATAAAGTGACAGATAATTGCACTAAAAAGTTGTTCAGTCAATATGCAAAATATACAATAGGTGTTGGTGATGATATATCTCTACCTTGACCTTAACAATTCATTTTGGTTACTTTGTCAACTTCATTTCACGTCATTTTGTTAACTTCTTTTTTTTGTGATCATCACTACAACCATTTTTCATTTCATTGACAATATTTGACCTATATATCACCATTTAATATCAATTTGTTCCTTATTCATTGACCTATTTTGTATGCTTTAGTTAAATTATCATCGGTTTACAATTCTTCGACAGCAAGTACCTCTTATTTCACCACTTGTTATCAATTCGTTCCTTATTCGGTGACCCATTTTTTTATATTATTTCTTCCACTTGAATAAATTCCACCACCTACACCTATTGTATATCTTCGATACTGACTGAACAACTTTTGAGTGCAATTATCTATCATTTTATCGATTATAAATACGACTGTACAGCTTGATAATGAAGTCGTTGAAGGAAAAAGTATTTCTTCGTTAAAACAGTTCTTCTACTGTATTCGATTCATATCATTCACTATTCTCGGTTAAAATTTTTGTCATCTGACTTTACAGTTATTTTAACAACGAATTTTGTAAACAATTCATCTTTACAATTCATTTTTGGACTCATCAGACATACTAGATAATTAGTCAATAATTCCATGATATACAACTCACGATTTGATTGAATCGAATTTTCGCTTAGGGTGTCAATGAAATTTTACTGGCCGATTGTGAGTGATTCAATTTAGGTCATCCGCTGAAATTGAAACAATGAATTAAGCCGAACAAATTCCTTAATGATTTTATGTGAATAATTGTGTATATCATAGAGGGACTTTGAAAGCCAGCCTTAATACAGAAAAACTATCGTTTCAACAAATAACAAAGAAACTCATTTGTTTATATCAGTGGTCTCTAAGGTGTCCTTTAAAGTCATTTGTATTTTGCAATTGACAAATGTTGTGACTTTTTGTATATGATTCTGATAGGAAATCAACATTTTAATTCATCAACCCCTAAGGTAGAGATTTTTGCATTACAGTTTTTGTTTCATGTAGCTTAGTCAGGATAATTTTATTGTGGAATTTTATCTCACAGTTGACCAATCAGAATAAGTTACTTAACTTTTCACCTAGTGATTATGTATGTTCCTGAAAACTGTATATAAGTGATTTACTTTTGTCGAATAAAATGTCTTCCTTATAGTCATAGAGTAGACTTTGTCTTTTGATATTTTCGTGGCTCAGTGAAGTGTAAGGTACTGAGAAGTGAACAATAGCTATTTGTATCTAGTCCAACTTTCACGGCATCAGTATCGTTTACATATTTCTTATCATTTTATTCGGTCACTTTAGATTCTATCTTGGCAAAATCATTGTGTTGATATCTAAATGCAAACTACGTAAATGAAATGAATCTGAATTCCCCACCACCACCACTTGTAACCATATCTTGAGTACGGGCACAAACTTATTGTACTAATGTTTAGTTAAGTATCCACTAGACTAGGTGGTTGAACTGCTATTTTGACACTTACAAATTTGATACCATTTACTCATTGTGATCGAACTGGGATTATGCGATGACTCAAAGTGAGTGAAACCAAAATATTGAACTGTAAGTTCATTGATTTTATATATTTCTCAATAATATCAAAACTCAAGAACTAAACAGATACATTCATGAAATGAGACAGTCGCTTGTAAAAAAAAGAAGGAGTAAGGTAAAATAATTATCATTTGACCTTCAAATAACACAGCCAGTTGTGGGTAACATGAGGATCTGCAGCCAGCTGCTTTTTCATCCGCCCTAACATTTTATTCATAAGCTCTAAATTACAATTAGTTGTAGAGATCTGTTAAATTGCAATAGAACGAAACAGCTCCCCAGGTTTTCAATAGTTCTATGACTGATATCGGTTCATGATGAATACTACCTTGAAATTAATCAATCGCCAATAAATCCCTAAACATGAACAACTTTTCACTACCTAATACTGGCTTATAATGAGAACTATCATTCTAGTTCATAAGTTTACAGTATAATAGCAATTTTCTTCTGATTACTCTATGCTAATCAATTGTTTTTATCTGTTTAATTTGTTACTTCATTTTTAATCAAGATCAAAATGATAAAAAACGCATGTCAAATTATTCGTCATCATCAACAGAAATGATATACAATTATCAAAATCTATCCCATCTACAATCTTCATTTGATGACTGTGGTGATGGTAATGACTCCCTATATCAATATCATTATCTCCCAACAGATGATTCAGATTTAAACTATGATGCTACATTGTCTGATCCAGAAACAGAACGTCAATATTATAAGTTAGATTCATTAAGTGATTCTAATCTATCCTCAATTTCCGGTAAAATGATAACACCGACAATGGATGGAGATAGATCAAGAAGTAAATTCACTTCACGCACATGTAATAAACACTGTAAATATTCATCAAATAATAAATGTAAATATCGTGTTGTTTATCGACAGCCAAGAATCGATTTTAGTCAAATGGTACTTGTTCCATTCGATCCATCCGCTTGGAATGGTCCAGTTTTAAAGCCTAGAACAGCCTTAAATCCGGAGGAATTAAAACTTCTCGATATACCCAAGAAAGTTGACTCTTTGGGAGTTGATAGTCATCTAGGCAGTGGCGGTGACTGTGGCGGCAGTATTAGTAGTAATAATACTTTAATTCCAGATTCTAATTGTGTTTATGATGAGAGTGTGGAGCGAAGAGAAGACAACAAAATGGTTATTGGTCAGAAATTCTCTTCTTCTAAAGATCAGAACTGCATTTCTGATTCCGATGACGGATATAGTAACAGTAAACAGAATCGTAAGTAATATACTTTATGCACTTTCTCATTCCTATTCGTTTTTTTTATTTCTGGGAAGCGTTATATTTAAGAAGAGCCTTAGTGTAATGTGCATAAATACTTCATTATCATCTGTTCTGTGCATTGTATTTAGTGTAGGCTAACAAATCATATTAGGCAACTAAGATTTCATACTGAAGACTGTGTGCATCATCGTAACAAAACTCGTTTAGTGATTTAATCTGATTGGGTATTAAACGTATAAGTTATCACGAATATGAGACTTTTTTCTCTTATCTCGTTATTGTAGCTACAGAGTAACACGTATAAAGTAGAAAATAGTAAATTAGCAACAGGTAGGATTAGTTTGGGGCACATCGATTAGGTCTTCAGAATCCGTAAATCTTTGTTTGTAATCAATTTCGTTTTGATTTATGCAACTGATTTAATTAGTGAACTTGTTGATAAACTGTGCAAATTTACTTTCAATATTCAAACATAGACTTCAAACTTTTTATTGTTGTTTCCTCCGACACGATCTGTTGTCTTTGGATTTCAGAATAACTACAAAGAAAGCATATATTCCTGATGAAAATGATATATGCAGTCCAAATGACATCGTTTTAATACGTTTCTAAGCGACAACATATCTCGTTTCGTCAAATTTTGTTAATCGTTGAGACTGAAATTTGAAGTTTACATTAACCAGACCGGGAACTATTCCTTTCTGTGTCTTGAAATACTCAACTGCAAAAAAGCATTCAACCGAATTATTCTGGTTCTTATACTTTACCTATAATTTTAGCCAAGTCTGTATATCAAAGCTGGGAACAACCAGTAAGAAACACCAATGAACGTTCTATGTCATCCTTTATCATATTATCAGTATTGTCAATGCAACTCATTACAATGTATAGATTCATGTGCTTAGGCTAGTAGTCTGGTATATATGGCAGAAATTTTACCATAAACTTACTGGTGAGAGTTTATTGACTGAGTGCTGAACTTCATATTTTTCCTGGTTGACACTTTGTTATATCACTTTTTTTACGAATAAACGACATGGAAGGCTGATGATTTTTAGACAATTTGAGTGCCCAGAGTTGACATTTCTAAGCTGTTCATGGCTTTTCCCCCTCAGCTGGATAGTTTAATCGTGAGGCTTTCATTGTCATTCTATGCAACAACACAAAACTAAGAACATAACACCACCAAAATCCTCCTCCTGAACTACAAATCTGCTGATGGCGTGGAAGACTACTTGTTGATAAAGAAAGTGGATTAGTTACACTTCCTAACTAGGCTGCGAAACTGTAGGGCTCAGGAAATATCTACTTGAACTTGTTTGCATGTGGCCATTCTCAAGGTTTGGGACTAAGCTGTTACGTTTGTACTTGGATAAATACTCCTATCCCTGACAAGAACAAGATGAGTATGCTACATTTGTAGTCGATCTTTTCTAACCTCTCTTGAGATTCGAAAAACAGTTTGAAATTGGAATATTGGTTATCTTTTGGAAACAACTGATCCTTATCACACCGTGTTACAACTAACTGTACGAGTTTTCTTGCATACCTCTACCATACTTCTAGCTGCTTTTACCCTGACCACCAGCCAACAGATCTTCCTAGCACGATAGAACCTCAAGAAACAATCTTTCCAGTCAGCATAGCTCGTTGAGTCATTGTGGTATACCTATTCACCTACCACCTCAAAGTAGCAGCTGTCGATCAGGTGCATGCGTTAACTTTCGTAGGTACGGTGGGATTTGGACGTGTCACCCTATGATTAAAAGTTGCGTAACTGGATTTTTATCCTAGATCTCCATGTAACAATTTTCACAAATTTTTGTTTGTTTCACTCGGAAATGTTGACCAAAGTAATAGGACTTTTGTTCAAATAAATTTGCTTGCAAATGAAACCATCGACTAATTTTTTTAAAGATTATGTATTCATCACTTTAAATTTAATCAACCTCTATACATTTGTGTGATGCGTTTGAATACTCTACGGACGTCAGTTATTTTGTTTGCCAGGAATTTTTACCAAAGACAATGATTTTGAGAAAACACTTTTCATTTAAATTTAGTCCTTCTGTGGTTTTTTCTGTTGTCACCATATAAATCCCTTCCCATACATTTAAACTTTTTTATCTGTAAAGTTTAAAAGTTTCGTGGTTCTGAACACTGCATCTTTCATCACCAAGATTTAAAAGAAAGAATGTGTTGAATAATACAGTATATATGGTTGAACTTTCACTATTGGTAATTAAGAGTAAATCCGGCGGCGTTGTCATTGTAAACCCTGATGATCTTTGTTAGTTAACACGGAGTTAAAAGTTGAGAGAAATCTATAAGTAAACGGTATAAAACTTGGCATCAGTTCATGAAGTCTCTAACTGTTATTATGAGTAGTATAGGGGAATATAGGCTTGTACTTTGTGATCCCCGAGACAACAATCTTGACGGCATGGCTCAAAATTGATCACAATAGCACAGATACATCTACATTTTATCATCATTGCAATCGCTCTATCCCATTTTTGTCATTTGCTTTATCCACTCTTCTACTCTTCGTACGACTTTCTGATTACCTTATATCTTGGTTTGCTGATGCGTATTGTGGTGATATGGACGTTACACAATAACTCCACTCACCTATGACCAACCAAATGCTGAACGGAATTTCTAGTAGTTTGCTATCGTATATCGACAGAAAAAAATTACTGAGATGGTTGTCTTTTATTTTATCTACAGAATCTTTAATTGGAATACAATTTAGAGTTCAATTGTGCTTTTTTTTTTCTCTGGAAGTTAGATACCTTTGTTCAAGTAGTTGAATTAAATATTGATTTTTATTTCCCCAATCCTCACAATTAATGTATTTGAATGTTCGTCGTTTCCCCACTTTGATTTTGCTGTTGACAACTGGATATTCATAACTATTGAGTAAAATTATTACTATGAGTGCATGTGTAGAGCTCAAAGAGAATGTTACAAATGAAGGTTGATGAGTGAAGAAAACAAAACAAGGAAAAGACAACTTTGCACATAACAGTAGAGTAGATTATCGTCTTAACATTAGTTGAGATAAGCTCTCAACAACAGGGGGAAATAGTATGCTGAAACATTATTTCTCTCAAATTCACATTTAAAATCGACGGCGAAGATTAAATAAGTTGAAAATCTATTGCATAATTGTGAAGAGGACAATTCGCATTCAAATTTGAAGTTGGATTGCAGTATACGATTGAGGAAATGTGAGGATGTTGGTTGATAAATAATGATAACAGTTAATCTATGTTGTGACTCAAACTCAGTTTCACTTAGTTTATCACAGACTTATCAGTTGATTCATATTGCTGGCATGATGAAAAGCAACTTTTGATTTGACCTTCGAATATGGCATGGCTTAGTAATTTCGATTTATAACTTTGTACTACTTACGAGTAGCATTATAGGTACTCTACAAAATATATCTGCAACGACCTTCCTTCTTATGGAGAGAGTTGACCTTGAATAAACAATTAAAAGAAATACTAACATAAAATACTAACATAAACATAAACATAAATACTAACATAAATTATTATGCACCCCTTTACTACGCATTTCCGTCACTGGATTTTGTAAATAATAGTCGCATGCATTCTCTGCTTGAAATCGACCAAATTATTTTATCAATCGATTGCCGAAGAGCACATACCTTTCATTATTTTATTCTAAATGTCAACCTACTATTCAACAGTCTGTCTCATAGCACTAATTATCTGCATTAAGTTATAAATGATTTCCTTTACTAAGGATTATTATTATTGTTATTGATGTTTTACTTCATTTGTCGACCTCGTAATGTCAAAATAATTTATTTTGTTCATTGTTGAAGTATTTTTTGAGATTCACTTTTTGTCCACCTTCAAATCATTATGATCTACATCGTAAACTTACGCAGAAATTTTCATAAGTATCTTTCATATTAAATGTCAAATTGAAAGTATGACTTTGTTGCGCTTTAGTTGGATATATTTCTTTTCCGATACTAATTTAAAACAAGCAGTTGAATTGAAAAAGAAGGATTTAATAATGAATTGATAACGTGTAGTCGAATCCTGTACATACTCGTTTGTATATACAACGTTATGCAATCTAGGAAAGTATAAATACATGACACAAACTGGGGGATCCATTGAGCATATCGACAGTTCTTCAACAGATCAAGTAAATTTTAGAAAAGATTAAAAATGTTCAAATTACTGATGAGTATTGGATAAAATTAAAATTTATTGCATCATCGTGAAGAGAACAATTGGCATACCATTTTGAAGTTGGATTACAGTGTATGATTAAGGAAGTATGAGAATATTAGATGTCAAATGATGATTATATTTAAAATAGTGTAAAGATGTAAGCAAAAAATTGATTACAATAAAGTTGGATTGCATCACTGTGAACAGAATACTTATTAGATCAACAGGTTTTAGCATAACTGTTTTTTTCTTAAATATTATACCTTCTTTGATCGGACCGAATTGGGCGATCTCTACTGACATATGGGCTCCTGTGCGGATGCCTCGATATTACCTGTGTTCTAATTATTGTAATGATGGGTGTTTCCATCATTATGCCAATAGAGACCGATCAATTAGGTTCAATCAACGACGGTATAATATTTTTTTAAAACAGTTATACTAAAACTATGCCCGTCACACAAGAAGCGGCTATCGAGGCTCGGTGGTGTGGTGGATAACGTTCTGGAGTTTGAAGCGATCGCTCCCAAGTCCGAATCCCAGTGGGAACAACACCACTCACTGAGAGGCAGGTAAATCCAGTTGACGAGTCCCAAAGAGGATGAAATGCGCGTCCTGGGTTCCACTGCCAGCAAATTCCATCACTACTATATAAAAGTTTTAGGTTGGAATTCATCATGAACTGACATTGGTTAGAGGAACATTGAAAACCTGGGAAAACTGGACATCTGTTTCGTCCTAGCATGTGATTTCTCAGCAGTGCTCACCCTGTCCGAAGTTCCAGTGAGAAGTCGTGACCAGTGGAGTTAACAAAGTCGGGCATGAGGACAGTTACTCAACGACGACATTGTATGTAAGTTGCGCTATATCATGAACTGATAGAAGTAGGAAATGTGAACCAATGGACCCCGACCCAGTGACTCCAATGGTAGCGTGCTAGCTACGGAACCTGAAGGTCCTGAGTGGGATCCCTAGTGGGGTCATGGGTGCGCACTGCTGAGGAGTCTCATACCAGGACAAAACGGCTATCGAATGCTCCCAGGTTTCCATTGTTTCTTCAGCTGATGTCAGTCTATGATGAATCTCAACTTAAAATCAATTAATAAGTCTCTACAAACTTCCAGATAGAACCTAAACAAAAGGTTTGTTAGAAATTTAAAACAAAGCGATTAAGAGAGTACTCAATATGTAGTAAAACTATTAACATTAGTAGTAACAATGATGTTTATTTATTTAGGTAGGCGAGACAGATAGATAGATAAAATCAACGTAGAACCTCGCACACAAGGTTATCATTTCAAGTTGCGACAGTTCGCAGTAATATATAAGAACTTGTTCACTCTGGTAGAATGTAACTCCATATTACTTAATTTATTAAATTGATCACATGGTGGAACAGCACTTTATATCGGATTATGTTTCGGAAATAATTTATGGTCCATAGTCATATCAAGATAACTACACAACTTTGAGTCATCCTTCACCTAGTCCTAATTTCCTCGCCTTCGTTGTGATTCGGATAGTACAATTTTCTGTATACCCGGAACAGGTGCTGAGTCATTCCTGTTACATGTATATGGTGTTGATTCGATAAACAAAGATTCAGTTATCAATCTCTCCCTCTATAGTGTTATGTTAGTTTTAAGGATTTTCACCCTGTCTCGTTCTATTGTATGGTTGTGTATAGTTGCATTCATAGGTCTGATCGAGCTTGTTTCTAAATTCACTATCTTACTAGAATTTACCAATCTTGACCTAGCTAGGCTTCTGTACTCGGATAGCCCAATTGACCGTGATCAACTACTTTGACCTATGTATTTGACCTCACTATCATTGCAAATGATTTGGGAAAGTAAATTATTCTGCTTAATTGGATCAATAGGATCTTTTAATCTATAAAGCTTATTTCGAAGTGAGTTTATAGATTTAAATGCCACTCTAATTCCTTCCATCCAAGGTTATTAAGAATCCTATGTAGTGTGTCTGAGGTGCCTTCTTTGCATGGTATTACTGTAGATGTATTGAATTCTCTCTCTACAGTATTACCACTGGTATTAATAACATTCTTATTAGTGCTTTCAACACCAGTTACTAATATTAGTTATATTTTTCCTATGAAGTTCGAATTAGTCGAGCATTGTGAATTAGGCTATGCGAGTACAGAAGCCTAGCTAGGTCAAGATTGGTAAATTCTAGTAAGATAGTGAATTTAGAAACAAGCTCGATCAGACCTATGAATGCAACTATACACAACCATACAATAGAACGAGACAGGGTGAAAATCCTTAAAACTAACATAACACTATAGAGGGAGAGATTGATAACTGAATCTTTGTTTATCGAATCAACACCATATACATGTAACAGGAATGACTCAGCACCTGTTCCGGGTATACAGAAAATTGTACTATCCGAATCACAACGAAGGCGAGGAAATTAGGACTAGGTGAAGGATGACTCAAAGTTGTGTAGTTATCTTGATATGACTATGGACCATAAATAACATCCGAAACACAATCCAGTAAACAATACTGTTCTAATTAAAATGGAATTACGCTTCGCAGTGGTACATAAAGATCAAGTGAATGCAAAGACATTGTTATCAAAGTTGACGAAGTTATGTGAGAGAACAAGCAACTTGAAGATAAAGGTTAGTTCATATATTCAAGCCTTAGAAGATGTCAGGAAGTGAATTTATCCGTACTATTGTGTCCAATTTTCCGCCATGTCACCAAGAGTATTCAGCCATTGATTTCTTTTATCTCAAGAACTCCGGTCAGACAATCCACACCTCTCTACAATGCTCAAACCGACAGTCGGATACTTTATAAACTAGTGCCACGTCTTGGTCTGAGCACCTTGAACCCTCTTCCAACATAATCCAACTTCTCCCAGCATTGCACATAGAGGCAGGTAGTGACTTGGGATGCGCAACACATATCCAAGCCACCTTAGTCTCTGAAGATTCAAAAACTTATTGACCTACTACTTTTCGGTTAACCTTTACATTGCTCAAATAGTGATTCCAGCATACACAAGCAGTGCTACGAAGATGTCTATGGTCAAAAACCTGTGGTCTCTTCATATCTTTTACTTTTATCAGCCATTTCTCACAGCCTTAGAAGTGGACAGAACGGACTGCTGTGCAATATGTCCATCCTTTAATAGGTAATCGGATCTCTCACCAGTTGGGGCAACAGATGATTGAAGTTGGTAAATTCCAAACAAGCCTACTGTATTCGTGCTAAGATTTGTTCGGCAATTCCTCAAGTAGGTCAAGTGGTCTACACATTCCACCACTTAACCACCTCTTTATCATTAAACTGGGAACACACTAGTTCTGGAGCATCATCTTATATTTCACAGGTGCCAGTGAAACGCGTGCCAAACATACTCAGGTTTCTGCTCAATGCGTTCAGAAGACCCTTCATGATGTCAGCGTCTTCACCCAGCAGGATAATATAGCCTGCATACTACGAATCCATCAGATGACCTCCATGGATTAGATCAACCCCTGTGAATCCAGACGTACCTAAGGTCATGTCCGTGAGTGAGTCTTTGACAAAGTTAAGTAGGAGCGGTAACACTGGCCTTCTCTGAATGAGCTAGGAAGGAAAACCAATTTCTGTATAGAAAAGGAAGTAGTGATTGACTTAGATCTGTCATAGTGGCATTTGTTGCAAAGTAAGTTAACCATTTTCGTTCTTGTCTAAATTTTCGGGCGACTTTAAAGGCCACTCTAGCAACGATCGAAATAATCAATTAGATTTCTTCATTTCGGCTGGAAAGGCGAATTTTCGTAAAATAGGGTTGTCTGGTTAGCTGTTTCAGCAGTTGCTTGAGTGACCTTCAAAGTCCCTCAATTTTTCATTCAATCAATTCTCTTTGTCACGGTTTTGTTCCGCTGTTAAGCCCTAGTACTTTTCGATGGTAAGTGCTTTATTAATCTCTGTTACTTGACCTTCTTATGACGTCTTTACCATACACTATTGTGTTAATCATTCTATTTGACTACTTGCTCTGACTATATTAAACTGATTTGTATTTTTATCTATTCAGTCTTCATCTGATCACCAATTTGAACATTCTCTGCAACCTTATCATATTTCCGTTTGATCTGTTATGTTACTGTTCACCTTCAATATTCCTATGCATCAAATAATATCTCAGCTAATTTGTTCTACTAAGTATTATGAATTCAGTAAAACCCACTTTTTTCACTTTCGTACTTAATTGAATTTTACATATTTTTTTATTTCCATATTGCAGCAAAGTGTTCAAACACTGAAAGTGGTCGGCTCAGAAAGACACCTCATCCAAAAACTGTAATCAGTAAACTGTTCAGGTTAGTGTTTATTTGTATGAGTGTGTAGATGTCTTTTGTCAAGGTTACGAGTATGATCTGTTTCGTTGCATTATATACTTTGTCTTTTAGGTATTCTTTCTTTACGATGAATTATGAAAAGTTTACTAGGTTGTGGTTAGCAGAGTTATCCAGGACGCGCTTTGTTTTTGCTAGCTACAACCAAGTAAATTTTCATAATTAACATTCAGACGATATCAATGCATCCGCATACGAACTCGCATGTCAGTAGCGGTCGGACAAATTGCTCCAGTAAAACAACGGAGAATTACAATCATATCAATAAATAATAATTATGAAAAAGATTAAATATGACAATCAAATTACTGAACGGATTGGATGAAACTCTCTTGAAATTATTTGTTGTATTGTTAGTGTGGGTATGCCTGTGTAGGAGCTGGATGGTGGTGAAGAATCCATACCCACACCTATGTAGGAGTCTGAATTTCCTCAGGGTAATAGGTACTCCTTACTAACGCTTTGCAAGTTACATATGAAATCCTATTAGAGTCTTCTATCATTTCATCCCATGACACACCGGATAGGCTTAACAAATCTATTAGCATGAATATATATATATATATATATATATATATATAAAGAATTCTTATCGTTACAAATATTGCTGCATTTAAGGCTCATATTTGTTTCAACCCAATCAGTTCATTCAGTAAGCAACCTTATCTGCAAACCACTCCTGCTGAATACTATGGTTATGCAATTTAGAGGTTTGCTGTGATTTATTTATTGATGTCAAGTTGATATGCAACATGAACTTATATCAGTTGGAGGAATATTGGAAACCTGGGAGCATTGGACAATTGTTTCGTTCTAGTATGAGACTCGTCAGCAGTGCACACTGCTGGGGATCGAATTCAGGACCTTCAGGTCCAGTTGCCATCACGCTACCATTGAGCCACTGGGTAGGAATTCAATCGTTCATATCTCATACTTCTATCATTTCACGATGTAGCACAACTTATGGTCATACGTGAATGAACACATTTAAGTTGTATAACTAACTATTCGGTTCGTCTAATCATCAATAAAATATTCATTTACATTTTTTTTAATGATATATATTTATAAATTTGTTAAAACTTTTCTACCCGCTTAAATGTAAAAATTTACATCGTATTAAGATCGACATTGATCAACTATTATTGTTAGCCTTGACATTTTCCACACAAGCTGTCTGTCCTATTTTTCTAGATGAAACAGTAAATGTTCAAGGTGGTTGAATCTGTTGGTATTAATGTACCCAGTACATGTTTTTTCCCAACTTGTATGTTTTTCTGAACTATTTTCTGTATGGAGAAAAATTAATAAAACTGCTAACAATGAAAATATCAAGTTTACTGCAAAAGTAATAGCTTATAATTTAAACATGCTATTCATCCTCTACTCACTATGGTCTTATTTATTATTCACATTAACTTTGAGTTTATGAGGAAAGTAGAATTTGAAATAACTAATGGGGATCTGTTCAGCCTCCAATAGAAGACAGTCTCTAATCCGTCATTGTGTACTGTGTATTTCCAGGAAGACACTATCGTTATCTAAGTAGGACCTTGCTTACTAAGTTTTAAGTTACACCTGGTGTACAGGGGATAACATGTGAATGTTTTGAAATAGAAGTATATTTCGATTACAAGTGAGTATGTTGTCTAATTGTTAAGTTCTCGTTTCTCAACTAGCATAGGTTCTTGTATTCAGCAGTGAGCTGACTGACTAACTCACAGTCGATTGTCTAAACCAATCACTTTTAGTGTAACTGTTTTCTAAAATACGTTTCTCAGTTGTATTTACAAATTTTGCTTTTAGTTTAGTCAAAACAACTACCCATCGACGTATTGGTGACCAGAATGTAACAACAGATTCAGAACAAGTTGCTGGATGGCAGCCTTCACCTGATAGTTTTCAAATACGTACACCTGGTGAACATATAAACCCCTTGATGAGGAATAAATCAATAAATCAAAATAGCTGTCCTTCAGATAATTCTGGAAAGAATTTAACTAAACCTCAATCATATCTTCCAACCGATTTACAACACAGTACAAACGACAGAATGGCAGTGACAGCAGCTAATCCTGTAGAAAAGTCAGCATTGCCTGTAATATCCCCTCCGTCTTGTTATGCAACACTTCATGAAAGGTGATCTTTTATATCTTAGACGTATTTATTATTTCCTTTTCTTTGCTCTGCCTCAGCTTTTAATTTGCCTGGAAGTGGTATGTCGATAAGTCATCAAAATGAAGCGCTTTCTTTGAGTGATGAAGAACATTCATAGTTTTTCACAAGCAACGAATTATCGAATATTGATCATTGTAGTCAGGTTTATTGGTATACCCCCAAGAAAAAACTGGTTTTCTAAGTTTTCTCATTTCGAAAGTAACGCAGCAATCGAAAGCATTCCGCAGGTGTCTGTCATTATGTTTATGCCAGCCAGCAGCTGAGTATAATGGGCAAGTATACTGAGCAGTGCTGCGAAGATACCTGTTGTCAAAAATGTGTAACTGCTTCAAATCTTTTACTTTCAACAATAATGTTTCACAGCCGTATACGAGGACAGAGTGAACTTCAGTACAGTATACTCGTCCTTTAATATATACCTGAATATATCCCCAGTCGGTACCAGAAATGATACCAATTAGGAAGTGGCAGTGAACCCTATGTATCCTAGCTGAGACTTTTCCAGCAATCATCCCATTCTGCTTGATGCAACTTCGAAAGCAAGTGGGGTGCTCAACAAGTCTTACCACTTCGTCTGAGTCTGAAACCTCTCTGGTTTTCGTTAGTTTATTATTCTGAAGCTCCAGTTAGGTGTCATGTAACTATGCACCCTAGGATCCTGGATATGATGTTCTTGAAACTGACCTCTCTTCTTTATAAACTGGAATGACCAGTGACTTAGATTCGTTTGGAGGGACTACCTTTAATTCCCACAACTTCGTTACTTTACTCGGTGATTTCTTACCTCCATCCTGCTGCTTTACATAATTTGAGTTTCGAGACGGAGCTCTCAGTTTCCAGGAGAGTTGGAGGATCGACACCTGTGTTACATTCAGACTCGGGTGGGATACTGAGCAACCAAAATGTGACTGTACTTCAGGTGATTTGTTCTTCAAAGTGCTTTGTCTAACATTATGGCCTGTCGTAAGCATTTATTAAGAACCCATTCTTTTTGGTGAGAGATTTACTTACCATCTTTTTGTTCTTGCCTTTGTCTGTAATAAATCTAAGTAATTGCTGAAATCAAAGGATAGCCTACCTCATCTTAGCTCTTTATCCTGCATATATCAACTCAACTGTTCATGTGGAACAAGTTACATAGGGCGCACGACTAGTTAGGTCCGTCTCCGGATAAGAGAGAATTTAGCGGCTTGGTTCAGAAAAGGCAAAGTGAAAGTTGTGAGAAGTTTTATCCTGGTAAACACAGAGCATCACATAGGTGCTAATAAAGCTTTGAATGCCATATACCGTATTCACAAAACACTACCATGTGTAGCTCGCCAACGCTTTCTCAACATAGCTGAGGTTGTTGCCATAAGGTTGATCAAACCTGAACTTTTCATTCGGAAAGATCATATTCAAACGTTACTCCTCTGGCCTTCAGTAAGGACTGGTGTTGTTTTAAGTTTCTTTCAATAATCAATTGAATAAAATCACATATGATGAATATTTCTTAATTCCTCTTATTTCGCTGTAGAGTGGAGCCTTCAATGCACATATATGATACCGCAAATAACATTCAAGGTAGTAGCAATGATAATAGGTCTGATGAACAAGTAAAACTGGATGTAAAGTATTCTTCCCAGACCATCAAGTTATCTCCTCATACAGATATCAGAGAAATAAAATCAACACCGCTAACGCCACCGACGACTACAGGAGCTCTGATAATAAATAATCCCGGGGGAATGATACTGTAAAACCTTATGCAACTTCGACGACGACAACATCAATGACAAAATATGCAGATTTAGCATTTTTGCCAAATTGTACAATAAAAACAAATAACCCATTGTCGTCACCTTTACCTTTATCATCAACAACAAATTCTAGTCATAAGACAACATTTGGATTCAGTAAAACAGTTAAAGAGGTAACAAGTCACGAACACGAACAACAACAACAGCATAATTCTATTTCATCTTCGAATCAACATTATTTTACCAGTTTGTCTAAAAGTACTGTGAATCGTTTATATGATATTGAGATTAGCTCATGTTCAACAGCCTATGAATCAGTTATGGAGGTAAATTATTCGATTCTTTCATTCAATTAAGTTATACATTTCATTGTTTATATGCTTGGTGATGCTTGTATGATATAAAAGTTAATAAATTTCCAACTTGTTCGTATGGTGTTTATAAAGCTTTTATGACTGAGAATGATGGTTTTGAGCTTCCACTTAAATTATCCCCGCCTTGTTTTTCATCCTTACTGGAAAATATCTCCTGTATTATTATCATTATTCTCAGAATACAAACATGGTACAGCAAAGGCACCAAGAAATGTGCCACACAAAACAATATAACAACATTAGGAAGACATGAAGCGAAGGGAGGTTGATAAGTAAAAAAGAAAAATACGGTGAGAATAGGATGATTAGAAAGTCAGTCCAATAAGATACATTCCATATAAAACATCCATTACTTTTCAACAGCAGAAGATAAAAAGAAACTACAGCATAGACGCCAGTGGTTTCGATTTTGAGCCATGTCTGATGACGTCTCAAGCCACTGAGTTGCCTGATCTCTCAGACCTCACCCAAGAAGTCGTGATGAATCAACAGATGGTATCTTTCATCCCATGACAGTACGCCATACACTGACCATCCGCTTCTTCAATCCAGTCCCAGGGGTAGCAAACAGTGATCGGTATGGAAGACGTTGAGATGACATGGATAACACATGTCCAAGCCACCGAAGCTTGTATTTCCAGATGACTTTACTTATTGAATGAGGATCTCCATTGTATCAAAAGACGCTGTCGTACCTCAGAATTACTTACACGGTGTTGCTACCTAGTACGAGAAATTCTGCGGAGGCAAGGATGATCGAACGCACAGAGTCGTCGCACATCCTCAGCTTGAAGAGGCCAGGTTTCACAGATGTAGAGAAAAACTGGTCACCCTGAAGCGTTGCAAACCCGACCTTTTACGATCAGACGAACGATGTGACGTCACAAAGGTGGCCTAGATTAATGTATGCTACTCTTTTTTTCGATATGCGGTTAGAAATTTCATCACTCAGACCTCCACCAGCACTCATACAACTACCCGAATACACTAACTTTTCGACTACTTCCAGTAGCTCACCATCAAAGGTTAGCACAGGCTACTGCCAATCTTCCAAAGTACTTTGCACTTCAATAGTCCAAAGAACATACCATACTTATGGATACTAATCGCTGACTGATTAGGTGCGATTTGAGTAGCCTATGTGTTATCGCGCAGTAAGACGATATCGTCCGCATCTTCAAGATCAAATAGTGGTTCTCCCGATGGTAGACTTACACCACCGTCACACACCTTCAGAGCTATCTCCTGTATTAAGTTTTATATACATGGGATGTAGAGCCCATCACAGTAAGTACAAATGGCATGACAATATTTAGAAGTGTTTTTTTCTATTCCTCTGTCGTTGTACTGCAAAAAATATAAACTATTAGTGGTTGAGGGAAACCATTTAGGTCAGAAAATAAGCAACCTAGTTTGCAGTTAGATGACAGTTACTTCCGTATGATAGGATATTGAGTAATTGATTAATGGAAGAAGAAAACTGAAAGCTCATAAAAATGTCTACAAAATTGCGTTATGAACGTGATGGCTATTTCGGGAAATGGTATCTTAAATACCTGAGGAATAATCCATGAATATGCAGTTGTTTGATATTCATTTCTTCGTTCTATTTGCATATCCTAACGATATATATATATATATATATATATATATATATATATATATATATGGTGAAGAATATTTTTAGCTCAGGTGGATGGTCTTGGTCGTATTGTGTTCTCTGAAGTGAGTTGTTTAATCGTGTAAAGCTTTCATCGTCTTTCTAGACGACATCATCAGCACTAACTTCAGTATGAAGTGAGCTGTCAATATCTGTCCGTGCGTGATTTAGTGGCTTGCTGTGACGATGTGGTCTGTGATCGGTTATTTCTTTTGATTGTTGTGCCATTGACTGTATAGACCTTTCAGAACGCACAAAACTCAAATGTCCAAGTCTGATGGAACTCATCGACCTTTGTCTGACAACATACTTCCGATTCAACAGCAAGATATAAAAACAGATGAAAGGAACTCCAATGGGATCACCGATATCCGAATTAATTGCATAAGCAGTGATACAGAGACTGGAAGCCATCATTCTACCTGTGATCAAACCAAAAATTTGGATTCGCTATGTGGACGACAGTTTTGTCATCATTAAAAAAGATGATATAGAAGACACCCACAGTTTGATCAACAACATTTTCAACGATATCAAATTCACAGTGCAGAAGGAGTCAAACAACCAACTACCATTCCTGGATGCTTCAGTCAGTAGAATAAATGCCAGAAAGCTGAAAACCCAAGTGTACATGAAGCCAACACACGCTGACCAAATCCTCAACTACAATAGCAACAATGCACAAGATCAGTTGCAGATTCTACTCAAAAGAGCGAGAACACTGCTGTACAATAACGGAGAAACGAAGAAAATTACTTGATGTCCATCCTAAAGAAGAACGACTACCCATGAAACTTTGTGAGAAGATGCCTATCCCGTACATCATCAACTACAAAGTCATCGACGGAAATCAATAAACGCATCATCCTACCATGCATAAAGAATGTATCAGGAATCACGACATGATTACAGAGACCACTTGGAATTGGTGTGGCTCATAAACCAAAAAATTCCCTCCAAACACTGTTATGCAGACCGAACGATGCAACAAGTAAAGATGACAAACCGAATATCATTTACAGAATCAACTGCAATAACTGCAGTTAACATTACATTGGACAAAGTGGTCGCCCTCTTCACCTTCGTCTACATGAACACCAAATGGCTATTAAACGTCACGACATTTCGTCACTCATTTCATTGCATGTGGATAGTTATAGACATGAATTCAATTTCGACAATGTAGAGATTTTATAAACCGACCAGTTGATCTATCTGTTTCATAAGTTATGTTCCATTTTTGCACTAAGATAGCATGATACTGAATAATTGATTAGTGATGAATAGGTTGAAATGCTTAATAGAGTAGTTAGTATTTGTATATCATAATAAATAAACGAAAGTTCCCATGTTTTTGTGCTCATCGTGGATATTGACTCTTCACATTTTCATTTAGCTGTGTCATAGGCATTTTTACCACAGGAACCCATTTAGTTGATTTAAGGTTAATTTAATGCCACTAATTGAAAGTGCTGACAGGATTCAGAGTCTTATGGATCCTTTGAGCGACTAGATTTTCCTTTCCTCCTACAACTCTGTATAACTTCTGATCATTTTTTTTCCATCTCCCATTTTGCAACCATGTATCTTGGTGTGCTTATGTGAGTTGTGGCAAGATGGACAACTACACAGTATTGCTAATGATATAAACCTACTGATAGAGTGAGTGACAATTTGAGGATGTTTGAGATGGATTTCCTACCAGCCAAAATGCAAAGTTGTTCCAGGACTGGTCTCCATCATCTAACAGTTAGGAGTGAAGTGGTTGTGCACATTGACCGATCAGTTGCCGACAGTGTCTCGGTGCATATGCAAGGGGCTCGACTAGCTTCTTGAATCTTACGCCAGTTGTGCCTTACTAATACGGCTATGAAACATGGCTATTAGAAGTGGAGGATATACTAAGGATCTAGGTGTTTGGTTGGTGTGGTCTTAGAGGTATTGCATTTGTCGTCGAACCATCACGTTTTTAATGTAGAGGTTAGGTGTAGAGTCTTAGATAAAAGAGATAAGTTAGTTGATAAGTTGCTAGAGTGGATAAAAATGAGGCGTAGAATTTTTTGCCTGGCTTTCAACTTCTATACTAGCCATATCTGAATATCCATTATTTGAAGGTCAAACGATAACAGTTTTACCTTGATCATATCAAGTTATGTAAGTGACTGTTCGAATTCACTAATACCCGCTTTTTTCTTGACTACTATATATAAATCTTGTTGGAAATGCAGGCAGTCAGTTGCCCTGGGGTTCTACTTTTCGATCTAATTCGGTTCGGTCTGTGGATGGTAACTAGCCGATCATACTGATTCAATCATAACAAAGTTACGGTGTAAGCAATCAATTCGGCCACCATTCTAGTGTACAGTTAACGCGAAAATAAACCAGTGCCTTTTGGACACACCAAGTTATCGTTGCAACAAAGGTAGCAAACCTTCATCGACTGTAATGACTGGAACACATACCTAGTCATCATCTATTCATATACAGTGTTATCTGGAATAAGTTTAGTATGGAAAAGGGCTATCGGTGGTCAGACTATAACGTGACTTCTCTTCATGAAGTCCCTGGCTGTTGGTCTGAGTTGCGTAGGGTTGGGGTCCATTTGACAACCAAAATCTGGGATCGGAGACCCTTTATGGTACCGCTCAAAATTGGTCTCAGCGGCGCGGATGCATCTGCACATTCTCATTCTAACCTATATGTCACATTTGGCTGTATGATTAATCCTGTTCTCTTGTCGTTTTACAATTCTCTATAGTTTTTGATTGCCTTCTTTTCTGCTTCTTTGTCTTTCATCTTGCTTCGCTGCAATCGTGATGCACTGATATGGGATGTAGCAATTTGTACCGTTACGTAGTAACGTCAGGTCTCCTGTTAAGTATGAACGATCGAGCAGCTGTCCATACACGTATTCTTTTTTCTTACCTTTAAGGAAATATTTTTATTGTTTTCTGCTTAGATGGATGTTCTGTCTTAATCTGAGGGAAAGTAAACAGAAAAATAATTCATGCAACATCCCAGGGTTCATTTCCAAAGGAAATAAAGTGATTTATACGTCCATTGGTTGATATAATTAAAATGAGAGTGTGTGTGTAAAAGAAACCCTCATTGTCTTGTCTCTGTCTCAACTTGACCCTTTGGTGTACCGTGAGTTTTTGGCTTGGTCATTGCTCGAAATATTTAACGTATGTCAAATCAACGATGAGTTGAACGAACTTCGGGATTTATTGATAGAAAACTGAAGTACAAATGGAATACGGAGCAAGTACCTACATTTCCTAAGAAGTATTTACTTATGAATGTTGATTTCAAAGGTGATACGGTAGCAGAGATCCTAAAGAATCAGCTATTCAAATCACTGGGAACAATTTTCTCTGGTGTTAGACGGTGGGAGTCAGTCGACAGGAAGCCTTCAACTTAGTTTTAGTGCCTGTTGGGGTCCAAAACCATGAGGAATCTGTAGTCCTCTCTGATTCAAACCTGCGTTGCTCAATTCACTGTGGTGTCACTTTGCTGAGTGGTCATGTTGCAAAACTTGATTGATAGACTTCGATCAGTCCTCAGCATTAGGACTAGACAGCTACATAATTTATCTACTGATGACCGAATTTTGTGCATTTTTCTCTTCTAAGCTCTTCTGACCAGCAAACGATTCCAGAGTGTATTAAAGACAAACTGATCTTTTAGATCACTTCAATGCATGTGTATTATTATTATTATTAGTCCCTTGGGTTCCTAGTGGAACATAGGGCTTCAGTAGCACGTCTCCAGTGACCTCTGTTCTCTGAGATCTTTTGAACCTGGTTCCACGACAGCCCACAAGCTATCATTTCCTCCTCGCACGATCTCCTCCATGTCACCCTCGGACGCCCAACTCGTCGCTTCCCATGGGGATTCCACTCGAGTGCCTGGCCTGACGCGTGATGTCCCCAGTCAGCCTTCTCAGTGCATGCCCAATCCATCTCCACTTCCTTCTGCATATTTGTTGCCTGATAGTTTCTTGGTTGGTTCGTTCCCAGAGCTCCTTGTTGCTTATTCTTATTATTCTGGCCATCTGATCTTCAGTAACGAGCCAGCGTAAGCAGTTGTTGATGAATGTCTGTATTTTATTGGAAATCCCTTTCGTAACACGCCAAGTCTCTGAACCATACAGAAGCACTGACTTGACTGGGTTGGTGTTGAAAATCCGGATCTTGTTCCACATGCTGAGAGCAGAAGATCTCCACACTGGTTTCAGGTTAATGAACGCCTGTCTTGCTTTTCCGATTCTGACTTTGACATCCTCGTCTGTGCCTGTGGTGCCTGTAGTTGAAACAGTGCTTCCTAGATAGGTGAAGGAGGTTACTTCCTTTAAGTTTCTCCTGTTGATGGTGATTGGAGTTTGTTGTTGTTGTTGTTGGAGTTGTTGGTGCGGTATCTTCATCACTTCTGTCTTCTCTATATTCACTTGAAGTCCCATCTTCGCTGCCTCTTCCGTCAACTTGTTAGTTTTGCCTGAAGATCTTCAAGTTTGTGTGACACCAGGCACAAGTCATCGGCGAAATCCAAGTCTTCTAGGTTCTTTTCCGCAGTCCAGCGTATCCCCCAAGGTGTGCACTTTCCAAATGCATCTTCGAACGTTATCTTACATGGTTGTTGGGCGGAGAATGCAAATTCATTACCAGTTCGATTTTTTGAACATTTGGCCAACTCTGAACATGTATAGCTTCACCATAGTCCCCTTTCAATTTCATCCATAAAGTCAAACTCAACATTTCAAAAGGCGTGCACTTTCGAAACTTAAACATGGTAGAAGAACTGACATTTAACTAATTTAAGCCCTATCTTTACTTTCAGAAGAAGCATATTCAACCTTAGCATAGTCTTAAACTTTTCCCCCGTTTTTGTTTTCAATTATTATGTGATCAGTCAACTTTTCATTACCATGATCATTATAATCTTTGTTTCTTTCTTCCCCTTCTTTACACTTATAAAGTAGACATTCAGCCAATACATTTCACATTTACCAATATTTTTCTTGTCAAACTCCTCGCCTTTCTCGTTAATAGTTCACTTTTTATTTCATTTAGAACACTACTCTAATGATGCAATTGTATCCTATCATTCATTAATAGACTCGATATGTTTGTGATATGTATACGTACGAGTGTATAAACTACAGAAATGGGATAGTCTACGAAGAAAATTTCCTTTACTGAATTATGTTCTATTCTTTTTGACTATGTAGGCATCCTTTATCGTCCGTTAAATATTTTTCTGATTTTCAGTTGATATTCAGCATGGACTGGTACCAGTTGGAGGAACATCGGAAACCTGGGAGCCCTGGACAGCTTTCCCATCCTAGCATGGGACTCTTCAGCGGTGCGCATCTATGACTCCGCCAGGGATCGAACCTAGGACCTCCAGGTTCCATCACCGCCACGTCATCACTGAGCTACTGGGTCGGAATTCAGTGGTCCATATTTCCTACCTCTGTCAGTTCACAATATAGTGTGACCTCCATCCACCGCTGTCGCTGAGTATCTATCCTATTATCCGACCTGGTTGGCCCTACCGGTCATTAGAACTTCGGGATGCATCTCTCGAATCGAGTCATCAATGAGTGCTGCAATTATTCAATTTGGAGGTTTGTGGGGATATATTTATTCATTTCAGGTTGGCATTGATTATGAACTGATATCATTCATGGAAACATTGGAAACCTGGGACCACTAGACAGCTGTTTCCTCCTAGTGTGAGACTCCTCAGCAGTGACCCCACCAGGAATCTCGGCCCAATGGTGAAGTGTCGGAACCTGAAGGCCTTGGGTTCGATCCATGGTGGGGCGTACCGTAGGCTCGTGCTGCTGATGAGTTTCATACTAGAACGAAACAGGTGTCCAGTGCTGCCAGGTTTCCAATATTTCTCCAGCTGATATCAGTCCATGATGAATACCAAGTCGAAATCAATAAATAAATCCCCACAAAACTCCAAATTAAATATCTTTTTTGTTGTTGAATATATGATAACTTTTATGATTTTGGACTGTTTTCATCTGGTGGAAAGCTGTAAAATAAATAATGCATATTTTATTCTTGCTTTACTTTGTTGTGAGTTACCAAGACAACCAAATGTGTAGAATTTATGGTCATTTTAATACAAGTATGTGTTGTATGTAATGTATTACAGCGCTATAAATTGGACTTATTAATTTTTATTATTATTGTTTTTGTCGCTGTTTAATTCTAGTTTGCACCAACGTGTGATGAAGTGATCTCGAAGCAGAAAACAACCAGGTCAGTAGTTCATTAGTTGACTGGTTGTATTGTTTTAATTTCTCTAATTACGTCATTCATAAATTCTAGTATTTTGATAGAATTAAAAGACAGAAGGAACTATAGCACTGTGGTAGATCGTAATTCAGTGTAAGTCTGTCTATTAGAAGTGCCACACCGTGAAACAGTATCATTTACTGGATAACGTTTTGGGCGTAATTTATTGTCCATATTCATACCATTGACAGTAAATTATGTCCGAGACGTTATCCAGTAAATGATACTGTTTCACTATTTGATACTTCTAATAAATAGAATAAGATGGAAAACAGCAATAACTACCCTGGGAACTTCATGTTGTCGAATTATTTTCTTAATAATTTCTGTATAAATCAAATCAGTGAAATAAAAAAAGTGTTTTTCACTGTCTAACTGCTTTCAAAAACATATGAGAGTTGCTTTATATTGGTTTAGTCACCCTACTCCCAACCAGTGAGTCATGGATTTCAGCTTCGTTTTGATCTGTTGAAACTAGACAGCCATGTAGTACTGTAATAATAATAATAGTAATAATAATTTAAAGCAACTGGTCCCTTTGATAAATTTAAACAGCGTAATGAGAAGACAAAGATTATCTGAAACATGTGATGTATTAGCGCTATACATTTCGAACAATCTGATCACACATGAACTTGTCGAACTATTTATGTGAAAATTTACGAAAAACGTCAATTAAGTTAATAGGAAACATAGGAATAGGAAGAGAGAGAAAAAGAAAAACCTTACTCTTGGTATGAAAATTAAAATCAATACTACCAAGGTGGGTTCAACGTGAGTACAAATTGTTTTTGTATACATAAAGGGGGTTTAAATTTACAGATGGCAACAGCTTCAATAAATTTAAGCACTCGGCTCTGACCACTTTTATGTAAGTAGTACTTTAAAGGCTGTTTTCATGTCTATCCTATGGTTATTTTCTAGTATATGTTTAGCGATAGACGAGGATGGATGTTTGTCACCTGCACTTATCGGATCTGTTGAGGTCATTTGTTTCTGTAGCCATTTAGGTACATGTTCAACCTTCCTTAACTGCATATCACGATTACTCCTCCCTATAAATGTGTGTCCACACATACATGTAAATTGATGAACACAGTGGGATGTGATATAATCGTTTATATGTTGTTTCGGTTTGTGCTGTAACATGGACTTGGTCTTCTCTACGATGATGACCTTAGCTGCATAATACGTTTTATAGACGGCCGATCTTAGTCTTTTCCTCACAACAAAGCTATGTGAATCACCTCTAAATGGTAATGAGATGTAGACATTTATGTTAGCAACGGAACACTGTGTACTTTTCAATGGTACATAACTTTTGCACCTGTCGATAAATCTCAACGGGTATCCATTCTGTATCAGAGTTGTCGTCAGTAAGTTGGTTTCTTCCTCCCTAGTGTCATCGGTGCAGATACGGTTTATCCTGTTGAATAAGCATCTGACTAAACCACGTTTATATTGGACTGGACAATAGCTATGGAAATTAAGATATTGCTCTATCCATGTAGGTTTCTCATAGATCGACCTCCTGATCGAGCCATCCTCCCGTCGACTGAGCAATACGTCTAGGAACGGTAGCTGGTTGTTCGTCTCTTGTATACAAAAACAATTTGTACTCACGTTGAACCTACCTTGGTAGTATTGATTTTAATTTTCATACCAAGAGTAAGGTTTTTCTTTTTCTCTCTCTTCCTATTCCTATGTTTCCTATTAACTTAATTGACGTTTTTCGTAAATTTTCACATAAATAGTTCGACAAGTCCATGTGTGATCAGATTGTTCGAAGTGTATAGCGCTAATACATCATATGTTTCAGATAATCTTCGTCTTCTCATTACGCTGTTTAAATAATAATAATCGCCTTATTTGAAAGAATTTTCGGTGCAATTTCGGATTTTCAGCACTTCCACATTTCGAATAATGTAAATGTAACAAGTTAAGTTGTGTTAAGGATATTAATAAGGACAAAAATTTCGCATTATTAGTTAAAACATTAAAAGATAGATCATGTGTTGTTGCAAAGTGGATAAGTGAGTTTGGTTCTAACACTTTTTCCTCCACATAATATGCGTACTAAATAAGTCATAGTCAAATTCTTGTATGTAGCTGTACGAGCATACAGTCTTATGTAAATACTTCTTGTCCTCCCTGAGGAGATACGTGGAGAAAACTGTGAATACAGTGGATGCTCAGTGTCAGTTAAAATCACTGTAGCTAGTTGCCTGCTAGAATTTAAATGTCAGTCAACTACAGTGTCAATCAGTTGAGCCACAAACACAGCACTCACCCTACTGACAGCTTTCAAAACACTACGCAATCTAACATAATCTTTTTCAATAAACCAGGAAAGATCAGCAGAGAATAATAGACAAGAATAGGCAGAAGTCAGGAATTAATAAATCGTAAAAGTAGAGACTGAGTTATACCAGAGAGTCTTAGTTTATTTATGTAATACATTAAAGGAAAGATTTCCTTGAAAGTCAACAAAACATGAGGCGACTAAGAAAGATTGGAAGTGAAACTCAACCTAATATAGTTAACACTCGATTTACTTTCTACAACATGAAACTTAAGCAGCTTACACAAGTCCTCTTTATGCCTGAAGCTAGAATTAACAGTCTAACATTTGGAGGGGTCTAGCCTGAGACTATTTGAGAGAGACGAGTGTTCAATTTCAGAAACCGTCAGGTAGTCATCATGCGTAACAAAATTAGTTTCAGCACAATAAGTGCAGTATTCATAACTCTACACGAATTTTTTATGTTGAACTGTTTACATATGCACAAATCAAGAGAGTAAATGAATAATGCAGTGAAAGTGGACTGTAATGATGTAACAAAAAAAGTAATCGAACTGACATTAATGAAAGATAGTCCCAAGATTAACATTAACTAATGAATAAATGATCGGCATTCCAAAAATGGTGAAAATAAATGGAAAAATATGAAATCTTTGGTAGTTTAGATTAAGGTTTTCTCTCTCTCTCTGTCTATATATATATATATTCGTTTACGACATGAAAAAGAAGAAAGTCGGTGAGGAATTCTCTTTTTTTTAGATTTTTTCTTAAGTTATACATTCATACATGCGCGTGTGTATATAATATTTGCAAGGTGTAGTCTGTTGAAAAACTTGAAGAATGGATAATAACAATATTTATGGTGATAATAATGCTGTAAATTGGAGAAATAGCTTCATGCAGTTCTTTCCATTCATAAATTTGAACAGCACAAAAATAACCACATTTACAGAATAAAGTAAATCCATTAATATATGAGTGAAACTTGGGCACTGTGGTAGATTGTAATTCCATTATAATCTGTTTATTAAAAATATCACACAAAGAAACAGTAGCATTTACTGGATAACGTTTCGGACACAATTTATTATCTATATTCATATGAGGTAACTCCACAACTTCGAGAGTCTTTATATATTCCTAGTTTTCTCTCCTTCTTTGTGATGACAAAGGTAGTAGAATTTTCCATATATCTGAGACAATTGCAGAATCACTTCGATTGCATGTATTTGGTGTTGATTCGATAAACAAAGATTGGATTATCAATCTCTTCCTCCACCCAACTAAGTTAGTTTTCAACACTGTCACTCTATCCCATCCTACTATGTGATTATGTGTAATTGCATGCAGAGCCATAGCCGAGCTTATTTCTAAATTTCTTATTAGGATCTACTAATCTTGATTTAGCTAAGTTTTAGTGCTCTGTTATTCTAATCAAGCCTGATCGACTATTTTGACTTATGTATTTGACCTCATATTCATTGCAAGGGATTTGGTAAACCAGATTATTTTATTTAGTCGCATCGATAGGATCTTTTAACCTACAAAGCTTGTTTCTAAGTGAGTTTGTTGGTTTGAATGCCACTTTAATCCCAGCCTTATTGAGAATTCTTCGTAGTGCTTCTGAGGTGCCTTTCTTGTATGGTAACACAGCAGAGGCTTTGAATTCTCTCTTAACCCTGTCACCATTATTACCATTAGTAGTAGAATTATTATTAATAACACCTGTATTACTACTACTACTACTACTACTACCAATGCTAATATTTTTCTTTCGATTTCTTATTGATTTATTTATAAATGTAGGTAGGTAATTATTGAGATATAAGGTATTCTTGCTGTGTCTAATTTCTTGTAGGTTTTCTGGCCTACTAGTAAGCTTTTCCACCCTATCACTTAGTCATTTAACTAAGCCCACTCTAAATGAGATGGGGTGGGAGAATTTGAAATCTAAGTAGTGGTTTGAATGGGAAAGGTTTCCTATAGACATTAGTCTCTAAACTTCCGTCTTGTGTTCGTTTAATCTTGCAATCCAACACTGCTAGCTCACCATCACTTTTTAAGTCACAGGTAAATTGGATTGTATTCACTACTAGATCCATGTGCGCCAAGAACCTATTGATGCGTTCCGATTTGAGTACTGTAAACATATCATCTACATATTGGGACTGTATCTTTGATGTAGGACTAAATGTTTAACATTTCTAATAAACATACTAAAATGAAATTAAGGTAAATCCACATTGCTTTCAAGAATCCATTCAGTTAAAGATAATTTATAGTATCTACATAAAAACTAATTAATTGAGAAACACAAATTTTTATATCGTAAAAGGAACATGAAAATTACTTAGGTTCGATAAAATAGGATGAAGATGAATACTGACATTAAAATTACAGGTGGTCACTACAGAATGGACATTTGGCAAGATAATTTCAAAATGTTAACAAACTAATGTTCTCTGAAGTTTGTTCTTGAAGTGAATGCTGATGAAATCATCTTATCTGGTGATAAAATATGCAAGAAAAAACCTCATAATTTAGAGAACACTAAACAATTATCATCCTCATCGTGAGCTTATAAATTTTCTCTTCTATCTCATACTGAAGAAAAGTTGATGAATATTATATGAGAAGATAAATGAATTGAAATTATCAATAAGCTATCCCCAAATGGTGACTGATATGTAGTAGAACCAACTGGATTATGTATATAAGTTGTTCATTAGTTGGTAACCGTTGTACTTTCAGTTAATGTTGAACATTTAAGACTTGATAGTCACATCGGTCACCAGTTTGTTTACTTTTTTCTATGAGAAGAGCTAAAGTTGCATATTAATATCTGTCAAAATAATAATAATAAATATACATTAAACTCAAAGGAATTGATTCCTTTTGAAAAATCCTTTAAAAGTTATACTTTGTTAAAGTGTTGTCAATCATTATTTTGTTTCATTTGAATGAATTTGTTCTTACTTTTGATTTAGAGAAGTTTATGAAGATGCTGAAGCTCTATATCGACATTTATCTGATTTAAAACAACAATCAAATAATTCAGATATTCAAACAACAGATTCATCTAATTATCATTGATAAAGTAAATTATTGTTTATATTCATATACACACTGTGAAAAAGATGAATAAACACTAATCCTAATTGAGATGAAAGTTAATCAGCGCCATTATTTGCAATATACTAAATTACTAGATTTAATAAATTTCTTATTTAATCAATTTTAATTTTACTGGCTCTTTTCATCTGATACCACCAGTTATATGATATATTCATACCTTTAATCACTGATTACTATTACTAATACTACTACTGCTATTTACTGTTAATGTGATAATATATATGAGATTATTACTGATGAATCAAGCGAAGTATGAAAGTCTGTGATAATCTCAAACACTAAGTCATGTGATGTTGCATTTGTTCTCCTATCTTTATTTAAAGTTTTCCATCATTTCAGTGATTGATACGCATATACATATATAAATGTTCTGAACAGAATAGGCAACTGATCAATTTATGCAACATACATCACATTCTACTTCAATGTATCTCCTTCTGAAGAGATCCTCGTTGTACCTTTGTACTCCTCTGCTTTTCTTTGTCTTTCGCCTCATCCATCATTCCCCTACCATTGAAATACTTCATTGTTAAACTAAAGTGATTAAGAAGAATAGTTCACACTTCTCCTCATTATTAAAATCTATGTCTTCTGTGGACAAACACATAACGATCATGTCATATAGTTAATAATATTTATCATTCTTCTTTCTCTAGTTTATTAACAAAACAATTGAAACGTAAAAACAGCATATTTGTCATCAGAAGAAAGGGATGAAAATTGTGAGCATTGTGAGTCCATCCATAACAGGGGGGATTAATCGATTAGTCTCTCATCTAGAGTAAGATAACACTGTGTATGTGGGGGAGGGGGGGGGGCAAGGAAAAAGTGCTGTGATTTTCTCGATATTCATTTGCGATTATTATCTTCATTATTATTACTATTTTCAGTGTACATCTATTATTGTCATGATGGGAAATTATGATGTGCAACTATAATATACATACAATTTTGCTGTGACTTGCACTTACCCCCGACAATTTTTTTTCCATATAGAATATTGTTTTCACTTTGTTTTTTCTGTGTTATCGACCCTCATGTTTCACAGTAATTAGCATTTAACTCGAGGTAACATCGTGATCTCAATTTCTGTGTGAGGTTATCCTTGTTTAACTTGTATGAATCTTTTAACATTGTAAACCACAAAGTTTCTTTTCAACCATGCACTAATACGACAAATTTTGATAAATATTTGGTTAGTATGTCTTTATTACTGTCATCGGTCATCTTTAAGGTTATATGCAGTAAGATGAAGATTACTGTAGAGTGAGTAGGAAGACCACCCCGAGAGGTATGGTATTCCCTCCTGAAGAAGTGTTCTACTAAGAATTTCGCTATGGGTTGCATTTACGCTGAGGTTGACGGTACAGATATCTCTTCTTGAGGTAGCTAAAAAGAGAGTGGACGCGAATGTTAAGTTCAAGAAACGCATGCTTATGGCCAATAGAATACGGTGCGTTCAAATGTGTTTGTATCTGTCGAGTTGGATCCGTAGTTAACACTGATAGTAGAAATCTATTGGGTTAAGGTTGAGTGGAGAGTTTTAAGACTTGATATTTTCGAACTCTTCCTACTCTGAATGGGAAGGCAGGACAGCTTGAGGGAAACTCTTTGGTGCTATCACACTGTTGACTATCAAGAGTACGACCTAATCGTTAGATCTTCATAATATGGTGATTTACACAACGACAGTAGTTAGTAAATTTCTTGTCAAAAAATGTTTCTGTATCTTCTATATGGCAGATACTTAGAAACTTGAGTGAGATATATGAGGTCCTGAAAAACACGGTCACTAGTAATTTTCTTTGATCATATCTTTTTTGAATTACATTCCATTCTGCAACTGAAATATCACAGAAACAGTAGTGCAGTAGTTTGAAGCATTAAAACGTGAAACAGCATATGAAGAAGACTAGATATAAGAAACTCGAAGTAACTGAGAGGAAAAAAAAGGGCAGAAAAGAGACGGGCAAGGAATAGTTAGTATCTAATAATGAGGAATAGATACATTTGAAGCGTATCCCTCAATGTTACCTATTTCTAACCACTGATTTTTGACAAAACAGTTGAGCAACAAGCGAGTAAGTGCAATCTCTAAGTTCAAGGCTCCTTTTATTCTATTAGTATCGCGAGTCGACGATGGCCAACCAGCTTAATTAGTTCAACTTAGATATTATTCAATAGCGCAATCAATCTCAGTTTCACAAAGATAAACATCTTCGGGGCTGTTACTTTGATAATGTCATTGATGGTTAGGAAACGTCTCAGGGAAAAGGTCGCCGATCTTTCTTGAGGACGTATTTTGGCAGCGATCACGCCATGGTTCCAGCGCATGTATGCTTGCACCTTAATGGACATGGGAAAACTATAGCTACAGGACCATTTCAAGCGTAGCTGGATGATGAGAAAACCAAGGCTTCCTTTAACAATAAACTAGCTAGACTATTGTCGAGACAGAGAGATGTCGTTCATCCAGAAAAAGCGTGATACCACCTCCAGTCTGCTGTAAAGCCGTTAGATATCGTAGCTGGCTCTCAGAAAGTGATTGAAAAAGGAAGTATATCTCAGCAGTTTTTCCTAAACTAATCAATTTGTGTGAAAGCATTCCTACGGGCTGCTAGCAATATGAGCAGCGGAAGCGACTCAAATTTAGACTGACAGGAAGTTTACGTAATGATAGCGAACAGTGCCGGAGAAAGCCAGAGATGAGAAAGGCAGTGGTTATCTGCAAGAATTGAGCTATTTAGGTTGGTTAGAGAAAATGAGGCGAGGTGTCAGTGGTTAGCGAAACTAGAACGAAGAAGATGGGTCTATGATTCACTCATGAGACGACTGAAGCGATAAGTGTGGCACCTTGACAAACATCCCATCTGGCCTTCAGTTAGTTTCCAGTTGCCCAGTCACATCTCTAACCAAACACTCAGATAGAGTGTTTAATACTTTCATAATTTGAGTAGGCTGTAAATAGCCTGAAACAAAATATGAAGGCAGGTTCGATGGCTTAGTGTGATATTTAAAGACGGTGGTCGAAGATCATCGGCTGAATTAACTGAAAGTTTATCTAGCGTATAGGAATCAAATATCTTATCTTATTCTCAGTCACTCACTATCCCAGTTTTCGGAATAGGAAGGGAATCCTTGTTTCATAATCACAGGGGAAACAGTTTGACGAACAAAATGTTTAAGATCCTGGTTTCTGTAATCCTTTGACGCATACATGAAACTCGACAACAGCAAACTTTAGGAAGTCACGGGGTTTTAGTACATCACCCTGTTGAAGGTAATGCATTCAAACACTCAAGGGTATCAGATTCTGTTTATGGTGAGGCATCGAGTGAGTTTTGTATGCCTGTTAGTGTCCAGCAAGTATGTGTACTCTCCATTCATATTTAATTTTGTTGTGGACACACTTATGGAGTTATCCCTTTTGTTGAGGTTTGTCAAACGGGACTTCTTAACAGACCTGGAGTACGCAGATCACATAGTCCTGTTACGTGAAGTCACTGACAATATGCAGTCTCCGGGACACCTTAAGTGGGAATTTGAGGATGTTTGTAATACTTTCCTCATCGCCAAAATGCAAACTGTTGTTCCAGAACTGGTCTACAGTTGTGCCCCATCTAAATACAGGGAGCGAAGTGGTTCAACTCACTGACCAATTCACTTAACTGGAAAGTCGAATCGACCCTGATGGGTTAGTGAATAACGAAATCTTTACATGGGCACAAAAGGCTTTACTGGCCTTTTCTAACGCATACCATCTGTTGGACTATCGGAATATCCGATTTCCTATTAGGGATCGAGTGCATTACTTTACAGTTCGCTCTCTCCTACTCTGTGGCTGTGAAATATGGCCATTAAAAGTAAAGAGTATTAGAAGACTTCTGATGTCTGACCACCCATGCTTTCGCTGTGTAGACTGTGGCAACTTGGACCGTTACGCAGGAATGCCAAATCCTACGTTAATGCTGAGTGACTAACATCATACCTCGGGAAAACTTCTAAGGCACCATACATGTGTAAACGAATTTCACTTTTCTTCAACTGTTTCAGTCTTTATATGAAATTGGAAGAGACTGTCACACTGTAAACTCAACTGTTGATAGACACCCGAATACCTTGTAATTGTTCTATGAAGTGCATATAAAAATTGAGAACTCTCTTGTAAATCCATTCAATTTAATCGTCACTCAAATATACAAAAATTCATGAATTGATAACATTATCATAAAAGTTATTTCGTCATGTAGTTTTAGAAAAATGTTCACCAGTTATTCATAATATAATAAAACTTTTCAAGAAGAATATTTGTGTGTTAAAAAAAAAGAAGAGAAGACAATACACCGATAAATCATTTAAATTACAATCATGTCACGGATTTCGACAAAAAAAAATCAATTATGATGAAAAAATATGTATATGTTTGTGTAGTAAATTGGGACATAAGAACAATATTGAATCAGGCGCACCTATGCAGTCGCATGTATTTGTGTGTGTAAATACTTAATAAATTCAAACAACAAAAATATATAACAGAAGAGAAAAGTCTATTTTGTACAAATTGAAAAAAAGTCGAAGAAAAACTTGCACAGAACCAAATAGATGAATAGGTAAATACACGAATACATACATATATATATATATATATATATATATATATATATATATATATTCGCATTACTGTCGTCTATGAAACAAAATGGATGCAAGTACTACTGACTTGTTAGTCGACAAAGCAATTCGATTTAACACTGAAGATAAGCAAAGAAAAAAAAAGGTCAAAACAACAAACAATACACACTTGAATTATTCTTTCGACAACAACACTAGATAATATAAACGAATAAAAACATATGGATAATAGTGCAAACAAAGTAATAGGATAGAAATCTGTTAGAAAAAAAGCCCAATGTTATGGTAATTTCAAGTCTATATAAGTATAGTCTTGTCGTAAATCATCATTCACATGAATAAAAGTGCTTTTATCCTTTCTAACCATTGCCAATGGATAATACAATTCTAGGGTAAATGCTAATATTCAAACGAAAATGTAGTCTAGTGCATACCTACAAACACACAGCGTGTAAAAGACAAAAAGAAATACACTGTCAGTTATGTAGTGTTTTCCAGCATGAAGTGATGCATAAGAAGTGTAAAAGTAATGTAAAGTACTTTGCACAAGAGAAGAAAATAAAAGGAATACACAAAAATGGACAATAAAAAAAAAACTCAATAAAATGATGTAATCATGTCATACCAGCCGTGAAGGGAGGATCAGTAATAAAATCATAGTTTAATAATAATATACAACAAATAAGTGAGTGAGATCAGTTTCTTTTGTTTATCTGTTTACCTTTCCGCTATTATTAGCATTCTCCTTCTCAGCTAACCGAAGTACATGGGAGTGTCGGTGAACCCATTTGTCGAAGTACACGATCAAGCCATTTTAAAGGTCCATTCAAGTGAACTTCTATCCAACAAGGTGTACTAGTTATAGTTTGTCTTCTGCAATTTAAAAAATAAAAAATTTTCCGACATGATTTTTATAGTAGTTAAAAAAAGACTTTGAAACTCTATGGGTTTTTAGAACAAGACACACAAGTGAACAAGATTGTTTTCAATTAGATTCTCTGAAGGCCTAACTAGCTAGATTTGCCGGTTAATGATACTAATAACGATGGTGGTAATAGTAAGTATACTAACGTTGACCATCAATAACTACAGTGTTGACTAAAGCAATTGTAATACAGACGATAAGGACAATAAGAAACAAGAAAACAGCATAAGAATGTAGGCATTTTGATAATCAAAGTAGGTCAACAGCTTGAAAGCTGTCTAATAATGAATGACGAAATAAGCGGATAAATAGAGTGTAAATAAGCAGAATAAGTATATAAAAGGGGGTGAATAGTAAGGAAGGGATAAAAAAAATTCGAGTGATAAAGCTGTTTATTAAGCATTCCCTGACCAAGGGAGAGAGAGAGAGAATATATATACAAACTTGGGAAAGAAAACAATGTTGACGGTTTTTCACCAAAACTGAGAGCTTTAAGTTAGAATCATATTAAGTCCTACGTTTTCGTTGAACTGTCGTCATTATACTCGTACATTAAGATTAACCTGCCAAGCCAAGACTATCTTAGATCAAAAGTCAATCGAACATTTTTTCAATCTGATTCGTTTGGATATGAATTGAGTCAATAAGAAATGATGGAGTAGCTAGTGTCATGATGAGAACATACCGCTGATTCACACGACACTTTAATAAAACTCATGGTGGTCAGATCGAAATATGACACCCGATTACCAGTCGCATTCTGTAGTTGACATCAGTAGATTATTAGTATGATAACGTGGAAGCTTCTGGTTTTACTTTCAACCTCTGGAGATAATCTCCTTATACAGTGATAGGTAAAATTAAAAATTACATATGAATTGCAAAAAGATTAGGATTCATACGTCTCTGTACAGGGAAACGCCAGTTGCTAATCTACGATATACAACTGATATGATGCCGATAACAGATTGTTTATTTCTAACTAACAAACACAACAAAAACAAATAATTCTAATTTGTGGGGGTTGTGGAGATTTGGAAATATTTCAAGTTGTTATTCATCGAAGACTGACATCAGTTGGAGGAACAAAGGAAACCTGGGAGCGAAACCTGGGACGAAACAGCTGTCCAGTGCTCCCAGGTTTCCTTTGTTCCTCCAACTGATGTCAGTCTTCGATGAATAACAACTTGAGAAATTCTAATTTGTGCCTAGCACATATCTTCTGACTGGAAAATATATTTAATTGATAGGAGAAGTATGATGTAACGTTTATAATTTTACTGCTGAATCTTAGTTGTTCGGGTCGATGTACGTTTCTTGTTCGCAGTTCACGAGATAATAGGAATCGAGGATTGATGAATGTTGGTGATTTGGTTTAAAGTCAATGGCAGTGCTCTACATCTAGATATTGAGCTTTTATTCACCTTCTAGTCATTATGTTCAGTGAAAGTTGACAAGTGGCGAAGAGCGTGACCTTCTTAGGAGTATTTAAACGTATCTATTCCACTGTGTCGATATTTCGTTTGTTAATATCTTACTCTGGGTTGATTGATTGCTTTATTTGAATCTAAATGAATGAACAGAGGTGATTGAGTTTTTAAGATCTGGAGTAATTGTCGTAGTCCATTTTCTGGTGACTGATACATTCTGCTCCTAAAGTATACAAAAGCTTGGAAAAAACTTCTACTCCTACTCTTCACTATTTCAGAATGTTCTTTAATCTTTAATTTGTTTTTACTATTGGTGATATTATTTCTCGAGTTTACTTGTCTTCCTTTATATCGATTTCGCTTTACTGTGCTGTGGCAAGTTGAGACTATGCAAAGTTGTGTTAGTTTCTGTGTTGCAAATATCTGTCTCTATTCTACACTCTCAGGAATGCTTTAGTTCATTCAAAAGATAGTATTCCTTTTACCTCTATTCCAAATTGTGTCTACAGATTAAGTTGTGTAGATTGTGATGCTTACTATATTGGGGAATCATCCCCTAAGATCCTCATTTGTGCAAGTTAAACAAAACGACCTCTAGATAATCTTGTAGAATAAGGGAGTTTACAAATAAAATCGACAGTTGCTGTTTATGTCATTGAATTTAACTACAAAATAGACATTTAAAATATTAAAATTATTTGAAAAGGTTTTTTTTCCAACTGCAAGGAAAAACAGATAGCTGAGGTATTTCACATGTTGAATCGCAATACACTCAACTATAAAGGAAGGCCTAACTATCCAACAAACTTGAGCAGTATATCCGAAATAACACGTCATACACACTAGTCGTAACTAAAGTACACACAAACAAACAAAAACTGAGCACTTCATCCCATAGTATTTTTCTCAGACTACACTCATTCACATGGGTTCAAACATTCACATCTTCACCATGAACTTACAGAATAGTAAGTGATAACAATGACACTTATTCCCATATTATTATTATCCTGTATGAACAACGTGATCTGATTTATCTCCGCTTACCATTTAAATATACAATAAGTTGAACAGGTTTTATTCTCAGAAAAAGCGACTTCACTGGGATTTTACAAATATATTTCATTTATAATCTGTCTTTATTCTATTTGACTTGGTTGTGACTGAGTGGAATCCAGGAGGTGCGTTTCGTCCTAATTGGAACTCATCATCTGGATGTACTTGGAACCCCAGTGAGTGATGTTGTCCCCACTGGGACTCGAACCTTGTATCTATTACTTCAAACGCTAAAGCTTTATACACTAGGCCACTGAGGTGTGATAGTCACTTCTTGTACAACAGGTGTTAGTTATTATTTCTTGATGCTTGGTAATTCTCCGTTGTTATACTGGATCGAATTCATCAACTTCTGTTGGTATATAGCAATTATAACAATAAATATTGAGGCAATATCAAGGCATCCGAATAGGAGTCCGTAAGTCAACAGAGGTCGATCGATTCGGTCCAGTATAACAACGGAGAATTGAAAGTATATCAACAAATAATAATATCTCTGTTCTAGTTAACTTGAAAGGTCTATACGTGAGCCTGGATATCATTTAAAACATAAAGTGATTGAGCTAAACAGATTGTGAAACACATTGGTAGTCGAAAAATAAAAACAAGAAATCTATGACATACATATGTAAGTAATTCCGTTTTTAATTCTCAGTTTTTATCGAAATGAAATCAATAGAAAAGTCATATATGACGATACTACGTTGAGGAACTACTCAACACCAAGATATGTACGACTTCACAGTTCAAATGACGTTTCAGTTTGAGAAGCTACCGCCTTATAATATTTGTGTCTAAGCAAGCTTTAATACAGATAACAAGGACATATGAGGTAAATAACTGGAGTGTATAGATTCTTAAGTTCGTGTATCTCTGTTTTCCTCTCAGAAAGCAGAGACGATATGGCTAAAAATGAAATTCACACAAAAGAAATATAAAGTCCTACATAAAACTGTCAGGTTCTCTCTCATAAGAAAAGGAGGGGTAACAGTTATCCCATACTTTATAACTCGACTGAGCTACCACAACAAACAAATCTCGTCATTTCAGTCTCACAACTGCAAACTCATTTTTTAAAATAAACTTTGTTTCATCAGAGAGAATAGATAACACTTTATCTCTGTATTCTTGGCGATTCATCAATGCAACGCCCGTCCCTTTGTCAGGACGCACCATTATAATCTCCTTATTGTTCCTCAGTTGTGCACTTTTGGCAGTCCGTATTGATATATCGCCAAGCATATAGAGATAAAAGGTTATCTATCTATCCTCTTTGATGAAACAAAGTTTATAAAACCCATCAGTGAGAAGAATAAGACGGTGCAAACTAAATAAAAGCTAACCGACATTCTTCGAAAATTATTCATCAATTTTTTAAAATTTTAAAATAGATAGTTTAATTATAATAATCATCAAATGATCTTACCTGTAGTCTGCTCCCCAACCTTTTACAAAACTTATACGTATAGAACACATATGAGTCAATGCGAATACAGATTCATAACTTCGTGACATACAATCAGCTAGTTGACTAGCGAATGTTGTACTATCAAAAAGTTTTAGGTTACACTCTGAAAAATAATAACAGTAGAAAAATAGGATACATGCAGTAAAGGAAATAACTTGAAAATAACTATACATATGAAATGTACAAAACTATAATTCAACAACCAGGTACAAGTTTTATTTATTGGATAACGAATTTCATCTACTATCAGTAGGGGGGATGGAGTTCAAATTTTCGATCCATTAGGTGAAAGTTGATTGTTTAGTTCAATAAAGAAAATTTTAAATTGACTAAAAATGAAACCTTAACATGAAGTGGCTAACACATAAATTAACATTTTCATTTATCGAACACTACGGCAGATGTACAAGGAACTCGGAGAAAAAGCTATTATCCGTCGGGTGACCTTAAACGCCACCCTATTAACTGGTAAGACAGCCAATTACATTCCTTTATTTCATGGAAAAGTACTTTTCCAAGTGAAATACAGAAACCTGATTGGTCACTTCACCAGTTACTAGGGTGACCTTTAAAGACATTCTTGTCCGTGTATAGTTCAAGTTCGCCTACTTACATCTCATTCTCGGTCCACTATGGTCATCATTCTTATTTCCTTCCAAATCGAATCATCGTTATCCATTCTTAATTACGATAAACTAATTGCATAACAAATTGTAATCGTTTTAAGAAGGGAGGAGTGAGTATTGCAGAAGTCTGATGAATTTATTCGATGCATATCAAACTGGAACCAAGCTAGTTATTTGCACTTAAGGGTTCAGTAGGCAAAACACTTAGCCAGCAAACTAGAAGTTGCATAATAAAATAAAGTAAAAAGAGGCCTTTTTCCATTATTCACGTGAAATAAATAAGTATTGTGTTTACAACTATTACAATTTAGACATGTTAATACATAATAGCCGAAACAACAGTCCTATTTGCTATAATTCAAAACAAAATATGAACAAAATCAACAGAATTAACCAATAAACAAACGGAAATAACGTTTAAAAAAATTAATGCAACTGCGCTACATTTATTGAATCAAGTAAAGTATAAACGAAAAACAATATGACGGAAAAATTAAAAATAGTAGTAAGTACAAAGAAAATTGAGTAGCAGAAACAGGATAGAAAGAGGGGAATAAAAAGAAATAACAATAAGAAGGGAATGAATCGATTAAATTGAAAACAAGTGTCAGTTTTAAAGCTATATTTCAGGTTCTAGTTCACTTCGGATCTCCAGTCACTGATTTCTAATATCTGTGCATTTGCTTCAGCGTAGATATTCAACTCTGAAGCAGTCAGTCCCGAGTTCGAACAACACCCTACCTACTTCGATCTAAACATAATCATCATCATCAAAAATCAACATAGTACCAGGCATCACTGTGTGACGGTCCAAGTTGCCACACTTCATATCAGCACACCAACTAACATGCTAATAAAATAGATGACGAAGGAAGGAAAAATCGGTCAAAAGGAGTAGAAAGTAGTAAAACAGTGGAGGGAGGAATGAGAAAATGATGTGATTAAGTATAGCGGTTAAGATCAGGATAATATGCGCATACATTTGCGCCAATGATATCGTTTCCGAGCCATATCACCTAGAGTCTCCAACTAATGGTTTCTCTTGTCCCGCGGACCCCAACCAGCTAGTCTGTGTCACCCTACATGGCTCAAACCAACAGTCAAAGACTTCATGCATCGATGCAAAGTTTTAGTCTGACCGCCCCAAGCCTTTTTCCAGCCTAAACCTACTTCGACCGACACTGTGATACAAGTGGCTAGAAATACGTAATACATGTCCAGTCATCTCATTTGATCAAAGTTCACAACCGTACCAACCGCCTTCCATCTAAACACAAATTAATTATAGCTCAATTTAATATACAAAAACCTCAATTACACGACCTTGGTCAACGGTTAACGACTTTATCTTCATGTTTCTAGCACCTAACGCTATTGGATTCAGTACCACACTGTAGCTCCAATGCTTTAAACATGATCCTGAAGATGTAACTGCAACAACTTTACAACTTAATCAACTCGAAACAGTACTTGAAAAATGACAAAGAAAGAAGGGGTGCAGAATACAAAATGAAGGAAAATCAATAAATAAAGATTAAAGAAGGAATAGGTCCCACTATCATCATCGTAGAACAATAACGCCTATCTAGTATCTTTTGTCAAACTGTACACAACTACTCATACAACAATTCAAACCAACAGGAAATAACATTACATATTTGCAATACATAACAATCCCATCATTATGCAAATAGGTAGATAAATTCCACCCTACTTAGACGACAGTGTTGATAAGAAAAAAGGAAAACCATACATATTCCATTATACTTGAAACATTTGTATATCGAATATAACCAGATGAAAAATTAAAAGAAAACAGGAGGTTAGTCATTAAGAACTAGAAGAGTTAATATTGGTAACATACTTGGTGGAACTTTAACAACAGTTGCTGGATGCCAATTGTGAAAGTGATTACAACTTGGCGACTGCACAAACACCGCAGCATCGCTTAAACACTCCAGATAAACTTCACTACCAATATGGTGTAATTTTAAACCACGACCTGAAATGACAAAATAAACAAAGAAGCAAAGCGTATCATATCGCACAAGTGGTGAGATCGACAGAGAAATCACAAACAATCTAAATGACAGGATTATAATTAATAGGATAAAGATGTATATCTATGCAAGTTTAGATGCTTTTGAATTACATACATAGACAAAAGTCTTCTACTAATCTCGGTGGTGGAGATACACTCGCTCATTACTGCAATATCAAACTTCGTCATTTGTTTTAATACGTCTGCTTGTCTTATTGCTTGTATTATAGCGTCATTGAGTGGACCGAATTGATCGGTATAATACAAGTGATAAGACTAAAACTATATCCGTCTCACAGAGTGGCTGTTGTGGCTCGGTGGCCTAGTGGATAACCCTCTGGCGATTGAAGCGATCGGTCCTGAGCTCGAATCCTGGAGGGAACAACATTACCCACTGGGAGGCAGGGACATTCAACTAACAGGTCCCAAACAGGACGAAAGGCGCATTCCACTGCTAGCCACTATCCATCATTACCATCTGCTTGTCTCCTGGTTTTCTACAACTTTTGGTCACATTTTCACTTCTTTTTCTTCTTGTTAACCAGATGTACTGATGTGGTGTGTGACAATTTGAATCTTTAGGTAGTAACGGTAGGTGCTATGTTCAAAACGTTTGTCTGCTTACTTCCTAGAGGTTTCGGGAGGCTGTTATCTTACAAATGATGAGTAAATACTCCCTCAGTGTTATACACCGCTAATTTTTCCTCACCTTTGCGTATAACTCTAAGATCACTTTATTATTACTGTTTTTGTGCGCTCTCGGTACCACTGTCAGCTTTTGTTTTCCCCACTGTTTCTGAAGGTTGAACTCTCATTGCTTGTCAACTCTTTTAACTTATCAGTATTCGTCAAGGTCGTTCAGAATGTACATATTCAGCACCGCTCTCAAGTGTTTTGACGGTCGTTGAGACAGTAAGAGCTCTCCGTCCGTCTTCTTTTCTTGTCTTTCCGTGCCGGTAGTATTGTTGTTATGGTGGTTGACGTTCAGACTAGCGGTTGGAGTAGATTCTTTGGCACGTTAGCTTCGTAACGCTCACAGACTGGCTAGGTCGCATTACCGGTCATAGCACTAATAAACTGAGGCTTAAGGATACGATGCAACAGACTAGGACAATCGACTACAAATTACGGAGAAAATTACCTACAAAAATTGTTTAAAACATTACGTTTGCCAGTCTAATCGTCGGATTGTTTAAAGAATTCATAGACACATACTAGCAATAAAGTGACATGACGCAACCTCCTCTTTAGTTTCAATAAAAGCAGGCGATCACAAATTCGACAGAGAGAATATGGAAAGCCTCCAAACAGCAGGTTTGAAAGCTGGAAGAAAATGTCTATAAGCACTGCATTTCAACGAAAAATTAACCAACATACACATGGATATAGACACAATCTACCTAAGAAGCCTTTCATCAACCCATAGTAAAATGACCGAACAAATCAGTAATGAAGTACAACATGACAGTAGCAAATAGAACAATGTCACTCCAACGAAAACAGCTACCGGTGTGATTGAGTGGAATTTAAACTCAAAGAGGTCAAAGTGTGACAAAAATCTCTTCCCCAACTTCCAACTGGACAAAAGTCAATGTCGGCGAAAACACTTCACAAACATTTGAATATACTCCACTTATTTATTAAGTTAGCGCTGAGGATGTCACAAATCCTGGCGATTAAACTTCCACAGCAAAATGTCAAAGTTCAGAGAACACTGAACAATAATCAAGTTTAATTTCAACTGCCTTCCACTTTCAGAAAAACAATTCCCTTAACAAATTTCTGCAAAGCAAGAAAAACATGGTGAGTTGAATCGAATTCATTTCGTGCGCTCTAAATCTTCCAAAAACGCAGTAAATTCAAAATTTCGTATAGTAAGCTATCAGTATCCAGAATATGTCATTTGATACATTTCAATAGTAAAATCAACGTCAAACACATGTTTCACATCTGGACATCAATACATATATATGGGAACAGAGATGAATGACAAAGCTCATGACCTAATCAACCAATACAGGGAATAAGTAAAGTAACAAATCCGACTGTAAAATCGATCTGTGAACACACAAAAAACAATGGATGTAGTAGTTGTGCCGGAATTCGATTACAACTCAAGGTGGTAGGCATATGGATAAAGGGGAGAGAACAACAAGGATGGTACCCAAAGTGTATGAATTAATGGTAAAGAATGGAAAAAGATATGGTAAAAATTTATGACTAAGATATAATGGTTTAAAGTAAATCGGAAATGACAGGAATATGAATAATGTCTAAGAATAAGATGAAAGACAACAAGATGAAAGAATAAAGTAGTAAATAAAACTGTAGAAAAAGAGCACTTCATTAAAGCAATCCATGGTGAACAAAAAACTATTTTACACATAGGTTTGGTTTCAGTTGACGGATTGCTACAGCTTCTGCATAAAGTAACAATCTACTGTTTTTCGTCTGTTGATCACCTTGAAAATTATGTTTGAATCAATGGCATGACTCGTATCGAGGATGTGTTTACCAATGGCACTGCTTGGTAGCCTTCCACCTCTAAATGATGGGCGCTTCGGTACATATTCAGTGATTCGCCTAGTAAGGATCTTCTCTGTCTTCCTGACACATGCTGCTGCAAGTACAGGTAAATCAATAAATATAGCTGAAGGTAACATGATGAGGTCTCATATCTAAATTAGTTTCTGTGATCGTGTTTTTCATGTTATAGACAACTATTAATTTTGCAGCTGAATAAGTTAGTGCGATGCATGCTTTCAGTCGGCGATTATTTTGTGAACTCAATTCATCGCTTTCGAGTAGTTTATACAAGAGGTTGAGTCATCTATTTTTTGGGTGTAGACTTGACTATTAAGAAGAAGAGGATTGATGGGGTGAGAAAAAAAAGCTCAGTTTTATCGGTGAATCCTTGAAGTTTACTAGGCCTCGAACGTAGAAATCGTAAGATAATGCTCATCTGAACCAACTAAAAGGCATTCTTGAATAAACTTCAGAGTTCATTCATACTTGACTAATAGAATTTATAAAAACAATCTAAAATAAAAATATCACTTACCAATATGTCTTCTAGTCATTTCAACTTGTAACGGTCGGTTGACATGGCTAAGACTGCCCAAACTGAATCGATCAGATCGATAGCAAGGTTCAGTGAAACCATCTATTGTTAATGTAGGTCGACCAGCGTGAAATGCATCACCAACTCGTGTATTCAATTCATAATAGAATACACTACACCAATATTGTACATCTGAAAAGGTGAAGTCTAGAATAGGTGTATTTGAATCAAGTAAACTGTCAAACTCTTCAGAAGAATGAAGACGATTTGGACTTCGTTCATCACTGCAACCAGTTTGTTCAATAAAGTGTTTTTCTACTCATAAAATAATAAAGTGTAACTATTAGTGACTATTAGTAACCATCAATGTAACTATTAGTAAATATGCCATAACTGACAAAAACAAGAGTACACTTGCAACTTATTAACAATTAATTCCCTTTGAAATGTTTATTTGAACCTGCATCACTAAATGCAAAAAAGGTGAACCAATATTAGCGTAGATGTGAACATACGCTAGCCAGACAGAAACCACTTGTTGGTTGTGTGAAAAGTAAAGCCTATATTGATATATAGGCAAGTGTAAGCTGTCTGACTGAGGTCGCCGAGCTATAGACGATTCAAGGTTGAAGAATGTCAATGACAAGACTCGAAATTGTTCGCAACAGCCTCAATTTATTCGCTTTTAATTTCTCTTCAAACCACAAACATCTTATCTCTTTTCATCTATCTGTTTGTTTCCTCTTCGTCAATATTCTTCTTGTGCATTCCAAAACAACTTATTCTGCCTATATGTTCTCCGGTACACTGCAAATCAATGTTTTCTTCGATACAACCTTTGTTGTATGTTATCAAGGTGCCAATATACGCAGCAGAGAATGTAGACGGTATATACATTACTTTGGAAATATGTGAACTAATTTTTGAAATAGAAGTAACTAATTTGCAACTGATATTTGTTTAAAAGACGAAATCCCTAAAGTGAAGATATTCTAAGTAGCATGAAAAATAAGGATAACATTACAAAAGAGGCAATTATATATAGAACTAGCAAATTTTTAATAATGTAATTACTGTTCATATGCTTAAAATACTGTAAATATTTTCCAATTTTCAGTTTTTCTTACATAGTGTTCAATCTTTAACTCACAAACTAGCATTCTGAACTGTTGTACAAGTTTGTGTAAGAAACTCTGAGAACTTACTTAATTTGTGAGGGTTCATAATAAATACAACTCGATTGTCTAGACCGAAGTAAGCGAAAGAGAATTTAAGCCCAGCAATCACTATTAAACCAATGAGCTATCATTGTTGCTTAAACAAAGCAGGGTACAAAATAATTGCAATTGATTTCCGAAACATCTTCAGTATTTAGAAACCAGTAACATAACAAAAGCCAAAGTTCAGCATTGAATATCTATCAAGTTGTTAACCATAAAATAATAAACAGTACATACACACTTGTCAAACTAGTCGCCTAAGTCTAAACATTATGCGCATCGCATATCCAAGCCACCTCAGTTAGTGAAGGTTCACAATTTTATCGACCGACTTACTTGTCTTACCTAGTACCCTTTACTTGACCTAAAAATTGCTCACACAGTGATTCCAGCAAACGCAAGCAATGTTACAAAGACACCTATGATCGAAACCTTGTATTTGTTTCATGTCTCCCACTTTTAAAAGGCATATCTCACAACGGTACGACAGTACAGAGTGGACGGCAACGTAGTATGCTCCCTCTTTGGTAGGTAATCGGATATTTCGCCAGTCGGCGCCACATGTGACGCAAGTTGGCAGATGGCAAACAAGCCTTCTGTATCCGAGATGAGATTTCGTCATCAACCAACCCGTTCGAACTCATGCAACTCCTCAAGTGAAGTCGTCGACACACTCCGACACTTCAGTCCCTCTCTATCATTCAACTGGTAGTATTTGCAGCAGACCAGTGCTGGGGTGTCATCTTACATTTCACAGATGCCAAAATGCATGCCATTTTCGGTTACTGCTTAAAGCGTTTAAAAGACCCAAGTATTTTGTAAGGGTCTTTGCCTAGCAGGATAATATTGTCTGCGTACTGCAAGTCAACCAGACACCCATCATGGAGTAGATCAGTTTCTGTGCAGTCAGATGTACTTAAGATTGTGTCCGACAATACATCTACGAAGAAGTTGAACAAGAAGGGTGACATCAGGCATCCTTGACGGACACCACTATTTACTGTCAATTCAAACAACTCTCCATAAGTCTTTACAGAGCTGTGTGAGTTCATAATCGACAGTTCACAGAGATATCAGTCAAAAAAATGAGATGATTACCCTAAAATAAGTAACTCAACAATGTAGTACAGTGCTACTGAAGATATATTACTGCGCTAATCAGACACAACTTGCAAATGATAGGTAACAATTTCATGGAAATGTCCTTTCAATCATTCTAATAAAGTGGTGATATGAAAAAGTAATAGAAACGTACAGTAGATTCAAATGAAGATGATAAATGATTGGTGTGGAAGAATAACTCAACGTATGATCCTAACGATAATTCATATCATGTTGATGCTGCCCGTCATATAGGAAGGCGGGATTAGAATAGGTCGGTCGCAAAAATACCATACTCTCTGAAGGGGGCGTATCACGTTGTCGGTGGTATGGGTTTTTCTTGTCCAGCATTAGCACAATGAAATCTCAACCGACCACCCTTAAATACCCCAAATATGACAGTCCTCAAGTGGGTGTTTCTGGGCCTCTGCGATTAGGCGAAAATATTCCTTTTTTGCTTTCACTCACCTAGCAGAAACAACTTCCACGGTGTGGACAACAAAGAAGTATCAAGCGCCCATACCCTTGAGGTAGTATCCAAACCCCAACTAACCATAACCTAACTCCGTTGGCTTTGTCTACTAACTTACCTTTATCTCCAGATGCCAACATCACGCCGCATACAACTTCCTCAACTTCTTATCCTGCAACAATTGTCAACTATCCAAGCCAATCAGACACCATTTCTAATCTCCTTAAGCCGCGGTGACAACTTCATTTTGAAACTTGCAACCCCTGAACCCCATATCCAGTTGGACAACAGGTATCCCTTTGCAAGACTCTGGGATCATGAGCCAAAGATGTATGTTTTTTTGAGACACGTGTACATAACCCGAGTGTACTTATTCAATTGAACTCAGCTGGTCAGTGCGGTAAATCTGAATAACTCACTTTACGGATGTTCATAGATTCAGTGGGTAATTCTCGTGAACTCACCCCTGCAAGTATAAGATTAAGGTGTAGAATAGAAAGAGCACTTGTCGACTGGAAACTAGCTGACGGTCCATCTGCGTACTGCTCAAATGGACGGATTTGTAACAACTGGGAAGGGGTGTGACACTCATCGATCTTGATTCATAATCTTCATCTATTTGCCCATCAACTAAGCAGCTCAAACATACATTGACTAGGTCTTCAAAATGATCATGAGAAGTGGTAGCTGATGAAAGCGAACGAGATAGCGAAGGTATCAGCATCAGTAATTATTTCTGCTTACTAAGGACACTGGTAAGAAGAAGACGATAGTTAGTAAAATCTATTGCCAACAACAATAGGTCTCTCAGGACAGATGGCTAAAAAGTTGAGTGAAACACTGAAGAACATTTCAACTGGTCCACAGCAACGCTCTAGTGGTCAAGCATCAAGCTCGAAAATGAATGGAACATAGGTGTCGGTCCTCCACCTTTGCTCGAAACTGAGAACTCTGTTTCAAACCTGGAATTATGCAAAGTAGCAGAACCTGACGGTTTTCCACCAGATATTTCTAAGGAATGAAGTGGGGAATTACTAAGTAAAGTAGTTGAGGAACTAGTTAACAGATGGGAGTCAAGATTAGTTTCGTCAGACTGGTCTACTACACTGACCATTCCAGTCTATAAGGAAAGAGAGGAGTCTTCTTGCGACAACCGTAGGCCGGTCACTTCAACTAACATTGTGTCCAAGATCCTGGAATCCGTAGTTATTCAGCACCTAAGTGGAGATCGACAACAATAAACCCAGGAAAACCAGACGGGTTTCACATCAAGACGAGGGTGCACCGATCAAATCTTCACCTTTTATCAGGCTACGGAAAATACACATATGTACCGACAGTCAACACCTACCATATATATCTTGGCGTGAAAGCGGTATTCGACTCGACTCAAAATCTACTCAATACCCCTGTGCATGTTCATGCAGTGCACAATGAGCCAAACCTATAATGTGAGCGCTAATGATAACACCAAACCTCAGAAGCTGAATTAGGTTTGAACTAGTGACCGACCGGCTAATCAAGTGTTTAAATTCCGTCGACCGTGAGTTGTTGCAGCAGTGTCTGAAGAGAGTACTGAGCAAGTATATAATGCTAACCAGAGCTCTCTACTCAAAGTCACGAAACCGTTCAAGAACATACAGCGGCGTGCATCAAGGACGCTACCTATTGCCGTTCGTGTTTGACTTTGTTATAGAAGTATCAATGGACATGAACCTAAATACCTCCGACTTTATAAAGATTGAACTTCTCCCTAAAGAACTGGTTTACTCAGAGTTTGCAGTCAATATTGTCCTTTTAGGCGAAGATGCTGATAAAATGCAGATTCTTTTGAATGTCTTGAGCAGAAATCTCAGTATATCTGGCATGCATTCCGCGAGTCAAATGCACGGTAATGCTTCAGGACTGGTCTGCAACAACTCCCAGTTTGAGGATGGGAGGTGAAGTAGCAGAATAATTTGACCACCTCACTTATTTGGGGAGTCGCACCAGCCCAAACGGGTTGCTTGTTGACGAAATGTCAGCTCCAACACAGAGGACCCGTTCGGCTTACGTTAATACACACACACACACCATCTCTGGAGCCGACTGGTGAGAAATCTCGCCTCGTTTGTGGTACGGGTAGTAGGGTTTTCAATATATCCGGAACAGGTGCTGAGTCATTCCTGTTACATGTATATGGTGTTGATTCGATAAACAAAGATTCAGTTATCAATCTCTCCCTCTATAGTGTTATGTTAGTTTTAAGGATTTTCACTCTGTCTCGTTCTATTGTATGGTTGTGTGTAGTTGCATTCATAGGTCTGATCGAGTTTGTTTCTAAATTCACTATCTTACTAGAATTTACCAATTTTGACCTAGCTAGGCTTCTGTACTCGCATAGCCTAATTCACAATGCTCGACTAATTCGATCATCATAGGAAAAATATAACTAATATTAGTAACTGGTGTTGATAGCACTAATAAGAATGTTATTAATACCAGTGGTAATACTATAGAGAGAGAATTCAATACATCTACAGTAATACCATGCAAAGAAGGCACCTCAGACACACTACATAGGATTCTTAATAACCTTGGATGGAAGGAATTAGAGTGGCATTTAAATCTATAAACTCACTTCGAAATAAGCTTTATAGATTAAAAGATCCTATTGATCCAATTAAGCAGAATAATTTACTTTCCCAAATCATTTGCAATGATAGTGAGGTCAAATACATAGGTCAAAGTAGTTGATCACGGTCAATTGGGCTATCCGAGTACAGAAGCCTAGCTAGGTCAAACTTGGTAACTTCTAGTAAGATAGTGAATTTAGAAACAAGCTCGATCAGACCTATGAATGCAACTACACACAACCATACAATAGAACGAGACAGAGTGAAAATCCTTAAAGCTAACATAACACTATAGAGGGAGAGATTGATAACAATCTTTGTTTATCGAATCAACACCATATACATGTAACAGGAATGACTCAGCACCTGTTCCGGGTATACAGAAAATTGTACTATCCGAATCACAACGAAGGCGAAGAAATTAGGACTAGGTAAAGGATGACTCAAAGTTGTGTAGTTATCTTGATATGACTATGGACCATAAATTATTTCCGAAACATAATCCGGCATAAAGTGCTGTTCCACCATGCGATACATAAATCAACTAAAATGGAGTATACATTTGTACTTTGTAAGTATACTGTTGAAGAATCATATACTGAGAGGTGAATGAAATGAAGTGAAACTCAAAAGCCATATGTACTTTTGTTCAGTAGGCTGATGATATTACTTGGGTACCAAGACATTCGTAGTTATAGTGGAGTTCACACTCGTAACCAACCGGTTATAAACTGAATTCTTAAATAAATGTTTAACGTTTATTTCCTAGATGGTATTAGGCTGTGATGAAAACTGATTCCACACTGAAAATTATTTTTCACAAACTATTCGACTGAAAGATAATTATTAATATAATGTCAGAAAATGAACTTACCGGAGCTACATGAAGTTTTTCGACCAGGTAGTTTACTCGAATTATTACCATAATTATCTAACGAATGTATATGATGATGATTTGTCATTGTCAGGGAACTTTTACGTGATTTATTCATCACTGATGCACTCACTGATGCATTATTATTATTGGTAGTACGCTCAATTAATGAGAAAGGACCATTCATTGTTTTGTCTGCAGATGCTTTTACTAAAGCAGCTGCAATTAAAGCTGCTTGATTAGTTGTGGTCACTGTTGGTGCTGTAGTAGCGATTGTTGTTGTTAGTGATAACGATGATGCTATTGTAGGTTGAACCAATGATAATGAATTTTTACAATGCTGAATGTCTGACTCATGACTATCGGTATTATTATTACTATTTATAGAAGCGGACGTAGTAACAATGTTATTATTGTTCTCAACTAGTTCAAAGTGATCGGAGAAAATAGGACCTGGAAGTGAAATTATGATGAAACAATAACTGATAACTAATCTCAAAAGAATATTACTTCAATTCATATGAAAAAAAAGAAAATTTTTTCAGATGAACAAAAACATACACGTGCTCGAGTCAACGAGTGATCACCAAAAAACACATGTGCTCCAGAAGGAGCGACAGTTTCTCACCAATCATCTTCAGAGTTAACGGATAGCAATATGGTCGATCTGTGTCCGTTGATGAGTTGAGACCTCAGGCAATGTCTTTTATGTTAGGATCTCGCAATTATCTGGTTGCAGGCAACCGGTAGTTGCTTGTTAGCACTCATCAGCAAGGTGTATATGGGACCTCAAGGGAACTGATGTCCCCTGTGGGATTCGAACCCACATCACCCAGTGTTGCAGTCAGTGACGTTACCACCGACATACTCGGATGAAAATTTAACATAATGTAGGTCCACACTGGTCAGAAATAGACGATTGTTTGAGCATAGTTTTAGATGACTCCATTATCCATTCGTTTGTTCAGCAGGTACTTCAAAATTGCCTTTGTGTCTGGTAACGATAGACACATTTGAATGTGTGGTTTTCAGTAGAAGGCTAGACCGTTTTCGCCGGAGCTTATCCTTCAATTCATCCAAACTCGTCAGTGCGTAAGCAAAGATTATAAACAAACAAGAACGACTTTCCTGTTCCCTTTAGTCTTCATTACACCATTGAATCAAAGAGCTCACACGCGGCGACTGTCACCTGAGATCTAGTTGAGCAATGTGCTTTCTACTTTAGCAATTAGTGCTATACCTACACATGCAAGACTGAAAATGAATCACGAAATCTCCTGAAAATGGGAAAGTCAATTTCGAAGACTCATCACTCTTAGGTCATGTGGATGTATCTTAGAGAAACAGAACACATCCATGATCCGAAATGCTAGAGTTTTGGCTAGGGAAGTATATTATCCAATTTGATGGAGGGTGTGGATATTGAAGGCTTCAATATGTAGCTGGGAACGCGGTGTCAGATGACTAAATACGCTGTTGCGTGAAATTGAACAGTTATCAGGAGTTGATAGAAGCGAAAGATGATATAAGACTGCTGATAGAGATCTTAGCAAAGATTAGAAGGCAACAATGTCGAAGATCGATAGGGTTTTGAAGACACTTGAGCGCCAATAGAGTTGTGCAGAAAAATGACAATTTCCGGCTGCTCACAGCAGTGGAAGGTTACTTCTTTTCCTGTTATATCCCAAAAAGAAATGGAGTTAGTAACAGTACTGGATGATTACAAAGCCCAAGAGACATCTACTTGAGGCTGGTTACACAAATTTCGTGGACGTTTGAGATGAGACTTATATTAACTTCAATCGAGCTAGAAAACCTATATCGCCAGCAGCGAGATACCACAGGACACGGAAGAATGTCTTATTTTGGGAACTGACGTATTTTAACTTCATCTCATACGGGAGACACGAAAACAGGAAAACTCCTGGTCATTCGTGGGAAACAACTTACTGCAGCCAAACTCCGTCCAGTCGGTAGTATGACTTCATCCCCGGGACCCCCACAATAGCACGTTTAGTAACATCAAAACTTTAACCGTTTTTTATGCGATAATAATATCTACCAAACTTTTCTGGTATGGTAGGACCTCAAAGCAATAAATGTTTCTGCCAAAATAGTTAGTTGGGTCACTGATTTAAAAGCCCGACCACTACGTCAAGATAATAGTTATAAGCAGGGAATAGGACAACTCAGCGATCCACTACAGATTGAAGTACTAGGTTTTAGGCTACAGTTGGTGTTGAGAATACCACAGAGTGTGAAACGGGACTTGAACTTGGGCACATTGGTTGGTAGATCGATTAACTTAGCTCATTAACTCTGAGCAGGTTTCTCTACTAGGTTATCAGTCGTACTTATTTTCGTGAGGACTTACTATACTACTCAACTGATCATACAGAAGTAGGTGGAGTGAGGTTTGAATTTACAGCTTTGAGGCAAAATATCTATATCGGTGAGCCATATACGAACCTTTATCAATTTTTCAAACATTATTTAAGTGAAGCAAACTTCAAACTAAGAGTAGGTCGCATATTTAAGTCATAGTAATTTTTACCGTTTGTCTCTATTCAACAGTGAAACCCACGTTATTAATTAGACTATCAAAAATGACAGCATTAGTTGGGTTGAAATAAAACTTGAGTCATAATAGAATCCAAACCAATAACCTTCAGATCAAAGACGTATCACCCTATTTATTGATTTATAGAAGCTGACTGGTGACGAATCTTGATTTAATCCCGTTATTTGATATCCAACTGTTCACTGGTTATCATTATCGACAGTTGGAATGACATTGAGATCAAATCAACAGTCAGGTCACGTAAATTAACTAGTAGGCTGAAAGTTGTTGACTATAATCCTGCAGCAACCTACGTCCCTTGGTCAGAACCAATCATCATCTTCATACATCTAGAAATCGACCGTAAACATCAAGCTTACTATAGAGACACAAGAATATTGATAACCACAATCCTGTTAACAGTAACAATTACAATCATTCTCTATGATCCCAATAACTTGTGATGATTAACTGATGAATGCATCCTTTTTTAGACGATACAATTCACTATAGAATCACGAGTAACTGAAGTAAGAAAAAGATTAATTTATTAGCTTAACTATGTTTCCTTTTTGAACGAAAAACTAGACCGAAAGCATTGATAAATAGGAAGAATGGTAACTGATAACCTAAATACTAGCAGTAATAACTGTATTTATTGGTAAGGCGATATCACTAACTTACTTATATAATAATGAAACCTGACTCAGCGTTCAACTTCTTTCAGGACAATCGTAACAACTATGGCCTGGATATTTATAATTTGGCTTCAGTTTGCCGTAAAAAAAACCACACTAGTAACCAGGACGATAACGCATTATTCCACAAGTTATACTACTGTGGGACAGAAGGAATGATTCAAACACATACATAAACAAACATAATGACAAGCATGAACCAATGTTACGACTTTGAAGTTTGTACCACATGCATACGCATGTATGTGTATGTCTGTGTGCGTGAATGACGAGAAGGAAATCGACAAGTCACTAGCTTTGCTGCATTTGGATCAGTTGATAAATTTAGACAAACAAAGAAGGACTGGGACTGAAGAATAAAATGACATTATTCCACCTTACGAACATTCATCAGCCGCATACAGTTTAAAATTATAATGGTTATTAGAATAAAATTATAGGTTATCACATACTTTAAACCATGTGTGTATGATAACACACATGATAATGTAAAATTAGGGAATCCAAACTTTTAAGAAAGCCAAAAATCATAAATTGTACATCAAAATCATTGCTACTTTATTTGTTAGGTGATCCAAAGAATGATTAAAAATTCCCATTATAATTCACAAGCCATTTGAGTAAACAAAAAATATTCTTTTCGATAGCTTCTTCTTCAGGTTCTACGGTTATATGTACATAATGAGGAATTATACATCAACAAAATATTAAGATTTCGCTCATCAATTTGTTAATAATATTATACAGTTGAGGAAGTCAATTCAGAAAAGTCTTGTATGAACGTTAATAATAGAAACAATTGTTAGTGGATTTTAAAAAAAAAGATTATCTATCTATACGACGTACGTAGGTGATGATTTAATATAAAAAAAAATAGGAAGGTGTCTATGAGGGCTAGATGCAATAAACTAAGAAAGATAATCTGAGGAATAATAGCTTGATAGAATCTTACCTATGTTGGGGGACAAAATTGATTAAGAGAATTTGTTAAAATTATTCTACATTATAGAGATGAAAGGATATCTACAGTATGCAACAAGATATTCCCTATTCGATAGCAGAGAGAGTGAATAAGATTTCTTTTTCTGTTGATTGTATTGATGAACAGCTAACTTTTTTAAAAGTACACTTGTCGAAAACCGTTACTTTAGCCGTTTTATTGATAAAAATAGGCTAGAAAGAAATACTAAATGGGTCATTCACTCGATCTCAAAGAAAAGATTGTTCATGAGCCTAGCATTTAAAGGTGAACTAACATCGGATGTACTAAAGAATCATCTGTGCAAATCGATCAGTAGAACTTTCATCGCAGCAAGACTTCGATTGACTTTTATCAGCCGTAACCTATTCTCCGTTTGTGTTAAAGATAAGCTTCCTTGTCTGGCCGCCTCTATGTGCATCTACCAGTTCACCTGCTCTTGTGAAGCAAGGTATATCGGCCATAGCCAAAGAATGCTTTCTAAACGTATACGAGAACATGTTCCTGTTTGTTTGTATAAAGGTGAAAGAAAGTCTGTTAGAAGTTCGATTCTAAAACATTTGATTGATTTCCATCACTCAACAAACCCAGACAATGACTTTAAAATTACTTATCAAATTCGCCCAAACCTCCCACGTTTTCAACTTCTTAAAACAGCGGAGGCTTTAGCTATTCATGAACTAAAGCCTGATCTGTGTGTACAAATGAAGTATGTGCAGTCACTGTTTTTATCATGGCCATAACATTTTCCCACCCCATTAGCTTCCCCCCTTTGTTAATTTAACCTTTGTATCCTTCCTTTATCACTATTATTGTTATTATAATTGCCTTCACTTTGATTAGTTTCGGGTGTTATTTCACTTAATTGTCTTAATCTTTTTAGAAAACATTGATTTCATCTTGACCAACTTGTCTAATCCTACTACACAATACCTAGTTGTTCATAGGAAAAGACAGGACGTGGTTTCAGCGAAGAAACGTTCTTCTTTTTGACGAAGTCATTTACTAATTGATTTACCACTTTCATCATTTTTTTTCAATCCCTTCTGAGTTATATACTTCCTATGAACCGTCCCACATTATAAGGAATCTACTTTGTTATCATTCACACTTCAATTATTATCATAATCACAAATGCCTGTGTCATCATCCGCTCTATTATGATTGTTATCATCATCATATAGCGTTTACTTTTCCTCATGGGATATACCTTTTCAAATATATATAAAAGATTGTACAGCTTGAAAATAAATTCGTTAATTAGAGTCTCTTCGCTGAATATCTTGTTCTTGATGTTACAATCATCATCATTATCAACATGGGACCAGGCATTACTGCGTAACGGTCCGAGTTGCCACACCTCATATCAGCACATCAAGTAAAAAGGTAGTGAGGTGAAGGATGAAGATAAGTGAATGCAGTCAAAAGAAATATAAAGTACCAAAAGAAAGGAAAGAGGAGTGACAAAATAGTGAGATTCGGTATACCCTCGTTAAGATGAGGATAATGTGTGTATACATCTGCGCCACTGACTTCGTTTCTGAGCCATATCACCTAGGGTCTCCAACCACTGGTTCCTCTTGTCCCGCCAACCCCAACCACCTAGTCTGCATCGTCATACATGGCTTAAACCAACAGTCAGAGACTTCATACATTGGTGCCATGTTCTAGTCTGGCCACCTCGGGCCTTTTTCTAGCCTGGACCCACCTCAGCCAACATTGTGTGACGGAGCAATCGGTGACTAGGCATACGTAGTACGTGTCCCAACCATCTCAGTCGATGAAGGTTCACAAACTCGTCAACTGACTTACCTCTTCTCCCCAAAACTCTACACCTAACTTCTGCATTACTCACATGGTGACACCACGGAATACTTCCTATACTACGAAGGCAACGGTGGTCAAACACCTGAAGCCTTTTTGTATCCTCCACTTTCAATGGCCATAATTCACAGCCATATAGTAAAACAGAGCGGACTGCTGTGCAATACACGCCACCCTTAATAGACAAACGAATATCACGGCGGCGCCATAGGTGGCGCAAATTGGCAAAAGCCAATCGAGCCTTTTGTATCCGTGCAGAAATCTCATCGGCAACTAACCCACCGGGGTTGATCCTACTTCCCAGGTAAGTGAAGTGGTCAACACACTCAACCACTTCATTCTCTATTGTTAACCGCGGTATCGCTGAAGACCAGTACTCGAGCAAAAATTTGCATTTGGGTGGTGAAAATCGCATCCCAAACATTCTCAAATTGCCACTCAAAGTGCTCAGAAGACTCTGCATCTTGTCAGCGTCTTCACCTAACAGGACTATGTCATCTGCATATCCTAGATGTTACAATGGGAATTATAAAATTATTTGTAAATTACCTCAAGTTCAATTATTCATAACTTACATATACCAATTTTTCATTCCAAGTGTTTCAGCCTAGAATCGCTTCACATGTCTCCTAGCAGCTGTTAATAACTTCATAGATTAGTGCTACATTGTGTTAACTCCGTTCCAACTTAAATCAGTCTCGCATGTTGAATTACTGCATGGATAAATCAAGTCTTCCTACACGGTTCACACTTTTAATGACCATGTTTTACGTCCCAGTAATACATCACAATACCTTAGTTTACTATGTATACCTTGTTGCAGCTTCAAGAGAACCTATCTTAACAACACTACAAGGAAACTATGCACACGTATACTGAAAGCTTCACTAACTTTTCGTCACCACATATTTTCTAGTGATAATAATAATAATAAGATGAAAAATCAGACAAAATAATCTTCTTTACGAAGTGATGAAAGAAAAAAGGAATTAAAAACTAATTACAAGAAGTATGTAGGTGAATGTAGGGGTGCGTGCATGTATGGCAAACGTTTTAAAAAAAACGAACATCTATCCAATACACCCACCTACTTCTTACACTAAAATCAAACATCTTTATCTATTCACCTACATAATACCGTTTACGTGTGCATATATACATTTCTATGATGAAACAGCTAGATGTATAGAAGTGGTATTTTCACAACTATGATACGTACAGTCGCCGGAGGGAAATGAGGAAACAGTTGAAATGATAAATTTACACAATATTATGCAATCAAAAGTATGTGTACAAGAGTGCTTTGTTGCAAGAAGGCGAGGAAGAAAAATAGGCTGTCAAAACATTTTCATTTTTATGCAATAAGTTCACTTTTCATCGAAGTTGTTCTCTCTTCTTTTACTTTTCTTCCTTCCGTTTTAAAAAGCAGTCACCATTTTTACGATACAAATAAGATGAGTTATCATGTATCAAATATTTACACCACAATATAATTAAGAACTGTTCTGTTGTATATATACAATCATACAACAGGATAGAATGGACTACAGCGCAGTATACTCATCCTTTAATAGGTATTCGGATATCTCACTGGCTGCAGCCACAAACGACACAAGTTAGTAAGTCCCGAATGAGCCTTCTATATCCCAGCTGACATTTCGTCAGCAACCAACATACTCTTACATTTCACAGGTCTCAGCGAAAACCATGCCAAAAATACTCAGATTTCTGCTCAACGCCTTCACAAGACACTGCATTTTGTCAACACTCACCTAGCAGAACAATATCATCTGCGTACTCTAAGTCAATGAGATGACCTCCAGGGAGCAAATCGATTCCTATGAAGTCAAACCTACCAAGGTTATTTCCATCAGTAAGCCTATAACGAAGTTAAATAGAAACGGTGACAGTGGACGACCCTGACGGACACTACTAACTGTCGTCAATTCACATGACAACTCTCCATAAGCCTGGACACGGTTGCGTGAGTTCGAGTAAAGAGCGTTGATAAGCGTTATGTGCTTGATTGGTACTCGCTTCATAGTCAGACACTATCACAACACATCACGGTCGACAGAGTCGAATGCCGCCTTCAAGTAGACAAATATGGCAAGTATCGCCTGTTGGTCGGTAAGTATGCCTGTGTTTCAGAACCTGTCGGAGGGTAAAAGTATGATCGATGCACCCTGATCCAGGTTTGAAACCTGCCTGGTTTTCTCGAGTTAGCTGCTCTCAAGCTCCAGTTAAACATCGGATAATTATGGATCGTAGAGTCTTGGAGGCACTAATAGTCAAACTGATTCCCGTATGGATGCAAAAGGAAGATTTCTATTCATTCCTATATATAGACTGCATGATCAGAGAAGTAGACCAGTCTGATGGCACTACCTCTGATTCTCATACACTACTTAGTACCTCCGTCACTTTAAGTACGAAACTGTCAGGTCCTGCTGTTTTTCACCGTTTCAGGTTCGATACAGCTACCTCAACTTCGAGGAAAGTTGGAGGACCGACATCTACATCTAATTAAGGTCCAGTCTGGGTGTTGGACAACTGGTGCGTTGCCAAGGGTCAGCTGGACTGTGCTTCAAAGTGTTCTGTATCTGCATATATATATATATATATATATATATATATATATATATATATATATATATATATATATATATATATATATATATATATATATATATATATATATATATATATATATATATAAGGAGAGAAGTCAACAAGACAAAAGTCAGTGAAATGAAAATATCAGCCACCATCAAAAGCTTTCAGATGAAGAGAAAGGGAGATAAGAAATATGAAGATATATACATCTTTGAATCAATTGATTCCCTAAAATCCACAGATAATTAAACGACTTTTTTCTTTAATAGTTGGGTGAGAATCTTTATCAATCGCGCTTCAGCCGAACCCGTAGCCACTTTGATTGAATATAAGAGTGAGGTGTTTATTTTCAAAAGTAATCGCCAACCGACTTAGCGATAACAGTCCAAAGTTAAAGGTGATTGGTCAATTTTTAATCACATGATTTACAATAGAATCGCGATGATCAATTGAATGGAAGTTGAATGATAAAAACGTAAACAAAAACAACGTCGTTCAAATGCTAAACAATAAGTTTTCTATTAAAATTGAAAATTCCCTAGTTCATAAATTTTATCCATATTGTGAACATGCGGTGATCAAAAAGATATGCGGCTAAGTGGGCGTTTATTCATTCACTTTATACAGTAGTGCAGATACCTTAAAAAGTACTAACCGTAACTAATGCTTAGAGGTAAAGAATTATTGGTTAGATAAATGTCATAACGAACGCTAGATATTATGTCGCTTACCAAAACAAAGACTGAATATTGATTGGAAGTTAATAAATTCTAGTCCAATTTAGTCTAATTAACAAGTAGGATGGTTATATGCTTCGTGATTCTTGGTATTTTTTTCAGCAAGTCATACTTGAAATGATGGAAAAACGCGAAAATCTTTTGAGAGTCGAAAATGAGTTGTGAAACGTATAAGTTTAAGCTGTTTCATATACAAGTGGACCTACCTCCTTAATGTAGAAGTTATCCACTTCCTCTCTGAGGAAATTAAGTACACGAATAGCACAGTTTACGATAACCGATATCGATCCTCAACACTTACAGAAATTTAATGATCAATCTATTCAACAAACTGAATCACTCTTTCGTGTACATTCTGTCGTAATTAGTACTGTAGACCAATGATTCATTGGTTTCAGCGTTTGAGTTTTAAGTAATGAGTCTCAGGTTCGAATCTCACCCTACCTACTTCAGGTTGAGCAATTAACCAATATCACAAGCCTTCACACAACATGTGGCTCATTGCCTAGTGTATAAACATGTATCAGTTTGATTTGTGTTATACCATTATTATCATTAGCGCTGATGTACAGGAAATGAAAGTGTATGACCTTCTGTTGACCAAATACCTAACTTTAAATACAATTTCGAGTTGTAGAGTTTATTGTTTTCAATGAATAGTCTGATCGAGAGAACTGAAAGAGAAATGGTGACCTCAAGAGAACACTATTTTCAGATTACTTACAACAGCCTCAATTGACAGGTTTTGCATCAGTGATACGAAGGTAATAAGTGAAAATATGAATTGTTGTCAGAATGAGAGCAGCAACCTCCAGGTTACATGTGGCAAGTATAATATCGACTGAAGTACATGATAAAAAAGCTATTGGACGATTACGATGATGTAGTAGAAGACATACATAGTTAAGAAGTCGTTGGTTGTCTTACGGCTGAGCTTCTACTTTGAATCCATTGTACATTTCTGATTGTATGATTTCCATTCATATTGCTTTGAATCCCATTGCACACAACACAACAGTTTTATTTGATTAAATGATATGATACGATAAATGTTATTCTTTTAGATCATTACTCAGTTTTGAGGATAGTTATGCGTCGAATGTAAGCAGTTTAGTCAATTATGATGGTTTGGTGCTCTCTGAGCTTTAAACTACAAACCACCATCATCTTTATCATGGAGCTGCAAATCTTTCATATCACTTTAGTCATTCGATTATTTCGTGTTCGTGAGTGCTAATAGCTCGAGGATACCATGGTCTATGGCATCCATATTCAATCTTCTAGGAAACGAGACCATCATTTCAATATTTCGTAGTGTTCTGAACACTCAATCATATTTCTAGATACTAACCATCTATACATGTATTATAAATATCCAGTTCATAGTTGCTGCGACTGTCCTGGGCGAATTTGAGAGCTGAGTCTGAAGGAGTTGTAGTATACATAGCGAGACTTCCAGAAAAATCTTGTCTTTATTCTATAAACACACTGGGATTATATCAAAACTTACTTTCATAATCATTTTACATGTAGTTTAATATTGTTACGTACAAATATTCATAATGATCAGTTAAGATATACATTTACTCACAGTAAGCAAACGGTTTATTTGTATTAGTATAATTAGAACACAGGTAATATCGAGGCATCTGCACAGGAGCCCATATGCCAATAGAAACCGATCAATTCGGTCCAATCAACAACGGTATGATATAAAAACAATGATACTAAGTTTATTTGTATGAAGCAAAATCACATACCTTTAGTAGAAATTTCAGATTTTAGATTCACTGAGAGCATATCTAAAGTGATTCTATCGTTTGACTGCTCATCGATACGTTTCGATAGCAGAATATCACATTCTGAAAATGAAGTGTAAGTTAGAAGATAGCTTAGATGTATATTAAGGAATAAGTATTACTGCAGATTAATAGACCCTCTCTATGAAATAAACTACTTTTAAAAATAGAACTCCCTAAGCACACTTAATTCGATGACGATACACTATTTTATTTGGGTACAAATTGTTTAAGGTCTACTGATGCTACACAACTATCAAAACCTCAACAGATGAAATATAGTACTGGGTAAAGTAGCTAGAAACCAAGTAACAATACCACTTAGTCAAATCTTCATCATAAAGAAAAACTGTTTAAGATTTATGTAGAAGAAAAACTATGAGCTTATTTATAAAAAATCCTATCGTTTATCTATTACTAAGAAGGCTATTGGTGGTCAGACATTCTGAAATTTTATATACAGGAGGTATACTAATTACTCTTGCGAGCACATCTTAACTGAGATGAGTATAAAATGTGTTGCGTCCACTTTGTGGATGCAAAATTTCCTTAGAATATCACAATAAAGCAGGAGAGGTCTATCATAGGATAGACTAAGCATAACATTGACACCATCAAACTAGCTTTTTGTTCTGAATTGACTGAGTAACAGTAGGTCTGTTTTCTGGTTGTGGTATGCAGGAGAGCGGAAAAGTCAATAGTTGAAAAATAAACGATGATCGAATAAATTTAAGAAAAAACACCCCTTCCTTCATTTTACTACGAGAACTAATTTTTGTAGACTGTTTTCTGCCAAGCTATCTAATTCTATGTCATCAACAGTCCTCAACCACCGATTCATTTCCTCTCGAGGACAACTCCCCATAGGACTCAGTTCAACAGTAAGAGACTTCATCGACTGGTGTCATGTCTTGGTCTGACCACCCTGAACACTCTTCCAAACTGATCCATCTTCCCCTAGTATGGCGCGTTAAGGTAGGCGGTGGCTCGGCATGCACAACACATGTCCAAACCATATCAGTCTATGAAGGTTCACAACTTCATCAGTCGAATTGGTTTTTTTGCTTAGTACCCTTCATCGAACCTCAACATTGTTGACACAATGATTCCACCAAACAAGGGCAATGCTATGAAGAAACCTTTGATTAAAATCCCTGCAATCGATTCATGTCGTCTACTTTCAACGACCGTCACAGCCGAACAACAGGACAGAACGGAATGCAGCGTAGTATTCTTCCTCTTTGATAGATAATCGGTACTCTACCAACCCGGACGGGAACCGTTCGCAGTCCAAGTTTTCATTTCACTTCCAATCATCACCTAGTAGAAATACCAATCTGCCAAGCTACGGCTATCTCAAATAGTCAAAATGATTCTCGAATATGTGTCAAGCTTTCATGCAGTTTTGCCGACTCTTTCAACTACATCCAACCCTGTTTGAAAAGCAAGTACACCTGGGACATAGGATAACCTAGAAAGTGACATAGCAAAGGCTGTCAGACTCTAGTTATGGTTTCGTACCGGAGATCCACTCAGCAGCACTTCCACACAGACATGATAAAGAGGAACGACTTGCAGCACTACAAACGGAATTTCGTTAAGTAGCCAATTAGGTCGCTGAAATGGCATCAAGGTTGTAATAAATATAAACAGCCTAAGAGTGATATAATTAGCCTTATAGGTTAGACTACTAATGTGCCAAATCAAATATGCATGCCATTCATCTTGAAATACATTTTGATAATCTATAAATGTGACATAAATATCAGACTATGATGTACAGTGTAGTACTTGACTCAAGGTTCATTAAACTCAAAGGAAACACTTTTGACGATATGGATTTACCGACAATATTTGGTCACTGTCAGAAACACGGGTTATAAAAAAGTGAGTTACATTGACCTGTCATGCGCCATAGCCAGCTATACTACTTCCACTGAATACGGATAAAATGTTTCATTCGTAAAAATCTAAAACTTCAGTGACCTCAAGTAGACGTACGTCAGATTGTCTTCATATCCTTTAGTTGGGAACAATCTGGGCTGTTCTGTCATGTGCACTATATTCATTCAAAGGGTTCGTCGAGCATTTTCAAAAGTATATGTTCTTCTTCGTATTGAATGTCGAGAAATATCAACCACTGACATAATCCCAAAAATCGAAGTTCCGTTTATTTTTTCATAAAATTAAGTTCACTTTCATGGAATATGAAAACTTTATATCAAAATAGAATTCAATAAAAAAAAAGGCCAGAACGAATAGTTCATAAAAAAGAAATGAAATACTTTTTGGTAAGACATGAAATCCAGCAGGTCATTAACACAATATATGAAATCGAAATGCGATTCAGAGACCAAGTTCACGTTGGTGCAGTAAGTAATGAACCACATCTAGTGTGTGAGGTATAATGATATTACACAACTGCCCAAACTTCAGTAGGTGAGGCGAGATTCAAACCCCTAGCCCACAGGTTGAAAGTCGGGAGCCTAGACGAATGAGCCACAGCTCTGTCACATTGTAAACAAAGTATTATTTGTGACTAATGTAGGCCCTATTGATTCTTGCGTTTGTACAAAAACGATAGATTACCTAAACAGATATGTTAAGGCTACAATGGTGAAGTGAATAAGTAAGGTAGTAGATAGTTAACTGACAGGAATGTAGCTATCTGCTCACACTGTCTTCTGACGTTTATAATAGCCCTCATCAACTATTTGCTTTCTGATGAATAGTTATGTTACCTTTCATAAATACGAGAGCTTATCCATTTTGAAAAAGATCACATGCAATGATTTAGTATGATCAACAATGCTTTGTTTAGATATTCATTTCTTTCGGGTTGCAGATGACAATCCCCAGTCAAATATAGTGAGTTGATTGTTAATAGTCATTAGTGAAACAATAAATTCGGTGAAGTCTAGTCTAGTTTTCAATCAACTAGACATTTACTCAGTGACTTATGTTGATAAGCTGCATATGCAATCGTCTTGGGAAACATACTTATGCCTAATGGATGAAAAATTTTGACCTTTACCTGTTGTACTTCCTCTTCAATGATATGAAACTATAATCTGCAGTTTATAAAAACTGATTGGTTCCAAAGTAGTTTTCACCAAGGATTAACTGGCAGAGGTGTACAGCCGTTGAGTCCTAATTTGAAACTCTTCAATCGCGAGTGCCCAAATCAAGCAGCCTCTGCTAAGTACTGGATAAGTTATAACCCAGTACTAATTAGTGACTTCTTTCGAGATGGATTTCTTACATTTCTAAAGAGAGACTACGATCCATGGCGTTAGTCAAGGGTGAGGATATATGATGAACAAATGATGATAATGAATGATGGTCACACTAGACCGTAAAGTAACGGAGACAAAAATACTGAACTACTAAATTTCACTCCAGTGGTTGAACATGAATGTTCTCGACAAGAAACCTAACGGTTTTAGACTCAATTCCTTAAGCGATTTTTAAAAGTCAACTGCTGGAGAGTTCCAAACTAAGACTAAAAAGCTGTCTAGTACTCTAAGGTTTTCAATGGTTCTCCGAGTGACATCTATCTGTGATGAAAACTACTTTGCACATGAAATAAACATCATTCAGCTGCAGTTCACGGACACATTCTACCAAGAGCATGACAACTAAGTAGCATTATCTTAAGATAATATGAGTGATTCATTGCTAAATATACAAACTCATGCATGGTTTGAATAAGGTGAGGAGAACAATTTTCTCATCGCACATTGTATTTCGTTGGATTCACCATCAATAGCCTGAAAGCAGCTGAAGAGAATGCAATGAAATGCAATATACAGTGCAAAATTTATTCTTATAGCACCATTCAAATTCGTAAACGGAATTGAATGCATGAAGTTAAACGTGGTTGTTCAATTGTGAACACGTGTGGTTCTATTGAAAACGGATGCTACTATTTGAACGAGTATTAGTTGTGTGTAACTTAGTAACCTACTGGATAATGCCAAAATTCTATCTTGAAATTCAGGAGGGAAAATAGTACCAACTTTAGGAATTACATCCAACAGATGAGTCTCCTCAACACAACGGTTATGACCAGGAAATAGTAACTGCTACTAATGTAACTCAACCAGGTACATGTTTCTATGCACTAGGCTATGAGCCACACTTGTGTGGGGACTTAGGACACCAACCAATTGCTTAAGTTGGAATAGGTGTATCAGGACTTGATCCCAAGGTCAACTTTTTGCGGACCGAATACTTGCTTAAGTAACTGAGCTTCATGATCATGATGACCGATTCATAAAAGAAAAAGAATACATCAAGGTCACAGACTTCAAATTCTCTACACTACTAGATACGTTAATCTGTACATATTACAAGAATGAATACAAATCAATTTAAGCTGTTTTTTCATTCACGAACAACACTCAAAATCAATCAAAGTGTAAAAGGAAGCCAAGTAACCTTGACCAGTTAGCGGGTGTGTGTGTTTGTGTTTCTAACCTTTGAACAAATGAGACAAGCACGTAATGCATACTAAGGTTATTGTTTATTGCTACTACTATTACAAGGGTTAATACGGGAAGAGAAAATTTAAAACATGCAGGCAGACAGACAGACAAATGGTAACCTGCAAAACACAACGTGATAAGAAAATCAGACATAAGTCTAGGGTTAACTCATGAAAAATAGATTTAAAGTGAAAAAAACAATCTACATAAGTACAAAAGGCATTGATCAAATGACCTTTGTACATTTTACTACTACGTAAAAGATCACCAATGCTAGGAATGTTGAAAGTTTTGACTTCTAAGATGATCCACAACGTTAAAACAAAACACCCTTTTAATATGAAAAAATGGGAAGAGAAGAACGACAAATGTGGAAAAAAAACTTTGGTTAAACAGAGAGACAGAGATAAATAAGATGAGACTGGATATTACGGCTTTCTAGTCCACATTGTGACAATTTACATCAAAGCGGAAGTCAACAGGGAGTAAGGAAAACAAAAGTTAAGACTACAAAAGACAGAAGATGAAGACACTTATTTCTGTGAACTTCTGAGAACAAATGTGACAGGGACCTTAACAACGCGTTCATTTTGTGTTCGGATTTGTTTGTTGCAGCTGCTGAACTGCTGGTATGTGGTGTGTACCGTTCTGAAAACCAAAGAATTGACTCATTCTTCTAACAATGAGTACTGCATTGAATCAATCGAATCAACATTTGCTCACAACACCAAGCAGAGCAGAACGACAAACAAATCAGCACAGAACCTTGCACCAAAGTACGTCAGCTGAAGCTCCTACAAGTCACAGTAGCACGTTAAACAAAAGTAGATGCAGAAAATAATGAAGTAGACAGATATATGTGCGGAGGGAAGAAATCAATAAATTAGGGTTATTACAACATGTTCAACATTTTGAAGATGACAAAAGGTTTATGCATTCATACCATTGTGATCAACTTTGAGTCATTTCATCAAGTCCCTTACCATTGATTGCTAACATCTTGAGGACCTCAGTCAGGTAGCCTACATTATCACATACAACTCAAACCAGCAATCGGAGACCTCATAGGTTGGTGTCGTCATCTTTAGCTTTAGCTTAACACTCAACTATTAGAATACAGAACCGCTAACGAGTTGACAAAGTCATGTACATCTGGAAATGAAAAAACTAGCACTTATATATAAAACAAACGGGAAATATAATGCAGCTGTAAAGTACATCGACGACAAATAGTTAGTCAAGAAGAAAACAAATGTCTGTTAACACTAAAAAAAAGTATGATTGCACTTCAGTCCGCTAGAATGTTGTGCCTTTGACAGAGTTGAGGATGAACATTTCGTATAATTTAAAATTAGTTTAATTGATGTACCACTACAAATCACCGATATGACCACCATATCTATTTGTTTAACATTTCATGCATGGAGACAGAAAGGAATCATATGAAGTAATCTACAGCAACAACATATGCACCCAACAGACAATTACCTTAGTTGATTGGAAGCAATCGGTAGTTAACTCTGGACCTAGTTTTTGTGCCTGCTGGAAAGGTGTGTCGGCAACCTCGAAAGAACTGATGTCTCCTATGAGATTCAAGCCCACGTCACCTAGTGTCGCAGTCAGCGACGTTACCCCTAAGTTATTCAGGGGTCGTTTGGCCACCTGATAACCATCTGAGAACTTCGGCATATTCAAAAGATTGAACTAAAGACTTACAGGTATTACATCGGATACATTACTGCTACTGTCTGAATACTGGCTAATATCCTCCAGTTTTATTCTGTGACGATTAGTATGAGAAAACCCATTGACACAAACTTAACAAGATTTTTTAAAAATTAGCAGGGGAATAAAATATTAAAATGAACACGGCTGAGGCAGAAACAAACTGCTGTTGAATTACATGTTTACTCGAGAGAGGAAAAGCAAATGTATCTACACTGTAACCGACTTTAAGCCATTTCTTAATAACTAATTTACTTTTGATTTAAAACAAACTTGGTACAGCATGATCACAATGAAATCCACCATACAAAATAAAATCAGGCAGAAATGAAAAAAGGAAAACAAACTAAGGAGATATATGGTTTTTAGTCATTACCTTCAATTACATGGCGAGGACAACAACAAAAAATTCCTAAGCTTTTCTACACATATCCAAGATAAAAACAGTACTTTTATGGAGTTGGACCATATTTTATTCACATCAGTCAATGCATAACACAGACATCCATGAGAATTCGTGATGCGTTACCACCGCTTGATTGTATTCACACTGGCTGCCTATTCAGGACTTCTCATCCCAATCCAAATCTAACTGAATTAGAGAGAGGGAGCATCATACTGATTATCATTTGACTATCAGAGATAGCCGTGGTTTGGTAGACTAGTATTTATACTAGTTCGAATCCGGCCGCGGTACAAATTTCCATTTCACCTTCAATCATCACCCAGTATAAATACTAGTCTGCCAAACAACGGCTATCTCTGACAGTCAAAAGATAATAGGTTACTTGATCATACTCAATAAGTAAATCTAACACACCCCTAAAAAAAGGCATACATGCACAGACAACTACATGAAGAATATTAGTTATATTATTGGATTTCTTTTGTATTCTATTTATTAATCAGCATTCCAAGGTTATCATTAGAATAAAATAGTTACGCGCTTATCTGAAAAAAACCACCCTATAAATTGTGCTTTTGCAGAAAAGTATGTGTAACAGTAGACTAGAAAATATGTTGTACTAATCTGTTTCTGTAAAACAAAAGTTGTAAAATAATGAATGACCAACAAACAATCGCTTATACTTACTTCTTATGATTGATAATAGTGTATTTTTGACTTTTTAGGTCATACATCCTAGTATTTAACAGGTATGATGTTCTCTGAAGCTCTTTTTTGTTTTGCATTCTTTTTTCCCTTCTATCAATGTTATTAATATTATGAGGGAGGTAGACATTTAGTTTCATTGTTCATCCGACTATATACCAACAGAAAAGACTAATATTGTCCTACAAATAAAAAATTAATAGTATCATCTTATACCCGAGCGAATTTAAAGGCCACCCTATCAACAACTGAAATGACCAATCATACTTCTTTATTTCATGAACATTTGCCTACCCAGCCAGAATATAACCTGATTGGCTACTTCGTCAGTTGCTAGCATGGCCTTTAAAGTCTCTCATATCCACTAAATAAGAAGTGGTTTTCGTAACATAGCGGTCTAGTGAATAAAGCTCTAATGTTTAAAGTTATGCACGTCAAATGTAAGTTTTAGCAGCATGCGAGTACATAAAAATGATGGATTTCAAATACAACAAAACCGTATACCTTAGATTCTATTATCAGTTACAACACAGATATAAAATAAACATAAATATTACTGGAAGTAAGCAGGTGACTGAAACTTCCCGACTACCCAAACAGTTAATCCTTTTTAAAGTATCTAGAAAAAAAATTAGTTTGTAGTGAAAGAATCTCTGATTTGAGAGCATAACTACAAAATATTTTCGGGAATATTTATATCGGCTTTATTTGGTTGAGTCCAAACTTAAAAATAACGTTTTAAACACCATAACTCGGTGATGTGGGGGTGCATGTACTACTCTTAAACTTAAACACTCTTAACTTCGATTGATGTTAGACGACCTGGGGGAGTCGCCAGGAAGCCTTGTTCCACCTAGATTTCATGCTTGTTGGCACTCGTTAGCAAGACTTATGTGCATCTTTGAGGGGACTGATATCCCCTGAGAGATTCAAACACGCATAGGCCGGAGCTGTAGTCAGAGACAATACCCTTAATCTACTCAACAACTGACTAATCTCTGGCAGGACTTGACAAACTGAAGTTGATTAGCCTTCAGTAGCCAACACATATACTGTCAACATCGATAATGCAGAAATAGCATCGTTGCAAATGTTAATTATCCTTGAAAAACATCATGCTGTCTTTATACGTCCGTATAGTCAGTGGTTTGATTTTACCCTGTCTTGAAACCTGCCATATTTGATATTACCACTCTCGAACTGACCTCGCTAGTGTGGTACAAACTGTAAGAAGAGAGTTCAGCAAAGGATAGCATGTACGGTCATTACTTTAGTTCAACCATCACAGCATGGTAACCGTAGTCATAACTAAATTACTATCATGATAAGATAGGTATCAATACCGATCAAATAGTGGAAAACGTCAGCTAGTCAACTGGTGCAGCTTTATAAACAGGCGAGATTAATCAAAAGACAAGAATCATCTAGAAAATGTGATTTACTTGCTCAGTACAATTTGAAGTGTATTTCACGAGTATATCACATTTTCAAATAAAACTTCGTATTCTAACTAAGCTGTCCAATTTTGTAAATCGGGTTAAGCGCTTCGAATCACCTTTTTTGTCAGGTACACAAAAACAAGTCTATAGTTTGTAAACACGTAGACAATCTTATTTGATGACTCGAAATAATAGTTCTTCACTAGACAACACACTAGTTCTCGGAGCTTAAGAATGAAAACAAAAGCAATTCAATAACACCCTGACAGTAAAATGAAATAGTCAAGCGATGTTTAGACTTCAAATGACATCTTTTTGGTGAACAGGCACAACAAACCATAGAAGGAGAATAAGCATACAAAAATTAAAATCACTGTAATACATAGTGAACATTATCAAAATCTTACCAGATTTCATTTCACTTGCAGAACTTTTTTGAAAACAATCATGTGAATTAGAATTGGTTGGTACATAGATTCCGTTAGTAGCATCATTACTGTTTACATTATTATTATTATTATTGTTGTTGTTGCTTGAGGATGATATGCCATACAACGAAATACTATCGTGATTACTGGACTGTATATTTCCTGAAATAAGGCAATCATCAGATGGTGTACAATCGGAGAGAAGTTCAGAAAGCAATGCTCCTGGTTGTGTATCTAGATTATTTAGGAATGGATTGTAGGATCGATCAACAGTTGAAGACACAGAAATTCCACTTAGAGATGAGTCTACAGCCATTTGATTAAACATTTTTATATGGAGAATGATGATTGCAGTTAGTAATTTTATACTGACAATTCATTGACCCTACTTTATATGAAGAAAATATAAGCTATATAGGTAAACAACAGCGGAAAAGCATTATTTAAATGATATAAAACTATGGCTTGCAAATAAAGTTATAAATAACAGTGCAAATAAACCGAACTGGTTGGTTAAGATTAATAGGAGAGAAGTAATACAAAGAAATGATAACACAATGATAGTTATGGTAATATCTGGGATGTTTAGCCGTATGCCTGATCGTTGCTTAGAACGAATGTTTCCCAAGATCTTTGCTCCATATCAAGCTAAACAATAGACTTCATTTACTCAAACACCAGCATTCATTTTAATTGAAACACCTAGTGGTTTGGAGGCACAACATTCTCTTGGTCCGTTCATTTATTGGATGTATTTTCGGTAACTTTGACTTTTTACTATTTACTCGTCAGGACTTTATAAGTCAAAGGATCAGTGCATTCAGGCTTAAATAAGAACTAATATGATCTGTAGAACATAAGAAAGTATGCACTCCTAAAATTACATTTCTATTGATTGTAGCAGCCATCACACTAATTAGAAAAAACAGAACTGACAGAAAGACATGAGAATCTGGATGATAGGCAGTGTGCTATACCACTAGTAAAGGAAGCGACCAAAATGCATCATTGTTTATTTACGACTTTTATTCATAGACGCTGAATATACGAAATACAAACTGAGCAAGAGATAAAATCGGTAACTTAGCCAATAATCGTAATAGTATATGGATAAAAGCATGAAACTGTTTTTATCTCCAGCAATGTGTCAACCATAAACAACAACTCTTCAGATCAGTATATAGTATTGGTATTCATTGTGTCCGACATTGGCTGTATTTCTTGACTTGAAAGCTGGATACAAACCCATTGATTGAGAGGTTTTACGCAAATGTCTCTCAACCAGAGGAGTACCAGGTAAATAAATCAGGTTACGTATTCGAACACCTGTGAGCATTTCAGAAAATATGATGAGTTATCAGGTGAGTTGTATGCGTCATGGTGTCCGTCAAGGATGCATACACCAATCTTATCTAGCTTTGTCATTAACGAACTTATAGAGTTCTCTCTCTTTTCGTTTAAATTTGCAGAGATATATCTTGTTACAGAAAACTCTTCAGTAGACCTAGAGTACGCAGACGACATAGTCCCGTTGAGTGGAGACGGTGGAAAGACACAGAACTCTCTAGATACCTTGAGTGGAAAATCGAAAATGTTCGCGATACTTTTTTATCACCAAAAGGCAAGTTGTCACTCCAGGACATGTCTACAATAATGCCTTCTCCAGCGGTTGGGAATAAGTTGGTTAGGCCTATCAAATTCGTTTACCTGAGAATTCAGATCAACGCCGGTGGGTCAGTAACCGGATAAATCTCCACATGGATAACAAAAGGCCCCACTAGCTCTTTCCAACACGCGCCGCCTATTGCACGACCGAGATATCTGATAGAGTGTAATAAGTTGTAGTTCTCTCTGTTCTACTAAATAGCTGTGAAACATGGCCATTAAGAGTAGAGGATAGGTGTTCGACTGTCGTATTCGCTGCATAAACTGCGTGTCGTGATGTCATCACATTAGTAATGCAGAAATAAGGCAGAGTTTCGGGATGAGATAGGGAGTCAGTTGATGAGGTTGTGAATCTTCATCGACTCAGATGACTGGGACATAAGCTATGCATTTTGAGTCACTGTTCGCTTCGTTGCACAATATTGGCTAAAGTGTGTTCAGGCTGGAAATATGTTAAAGGAGGCCAGGCTGAAACATGTTATCAGTCCCTGAAGTCTTTGACTGTTGGTCTGAGTCAGGTAGGGAAATGTCGACTTCTCGGTTGGGGTCTGTGTGACAACCAAAATCGACGATCAGAAATTCTAGGTAATATGACTCAGAATCGATGTGTGGCTTATATGCATGAAAACACTATCTTCATCTTGATCGTTATGTTGAGTTTCATCATTTGTTCTCTCTCCACAAGAGTCGACCATTTCTTACTGCTTTCTTTATCTTTCATCTTGATGCACTCTCGCCTGATGTGCTGATGAGTTGTGGAAGTTTGGACCATTATGCAGTAATGCCAGACCGCACGTTGATTTTGACTGGCTAACTAACCTCAGATATCTATTAGAGCTTATCACGGTTAACACCGACTTTTTAAGATGTGTTCGTTAGGGAGTATATCTAATCATACGCTGGTTCAAATTAATGCCTAGACATCAGCAGTTACAGAGGAAAAATAAAAGAGCGGTTAGGTGCACTTTAAGTGAAAGCAGTAACAAAAAGTACATAACAAATGACAACACTGTATATACTCATAGGGACAAACTTGACAACAAACTAGTCACCAATCCACACAGCTTGCAACCCATTCTTACGACTACCCTACAGCTAGTGGATCGGGAATACCTTTGCTGATTTTAATGGTGTCCAGAGAATCATTTGGGATGAAATCAAAGTATTTACTATAAACAAAAACTCAGTATAATATGAGCATCAAGCACGTTATACAAATATAACGACCGTATGCAGAAACAGCAAAATGAGAAAGGTGAAAACAAAGAATGAAATAATTGGTGCATTAGTCAAATAAAATACATCCAGAAAGCTTGCATAGCCACTGCATTACTTTCAAAATGAGAGACAGGAAAACCGCAAAATGATCTCCACTTACTTTGATCCTAAAGCCTAATTGATAACATTTTTTTAGTCAGTGGATCGCACACTTTCCAGGATTTCACCTAAGGAATCCCGTAAAAAATGCTTATTTAACACAACTACTCATTTCACATCGCACCATGAACTGACCATCTTTCTGCTTATTCTATTTAATTTCACTGCTTAGTCAGTAAATATTAACAGATGAAATGGCATTACTGCTAGACTGCTCAGATTTTCACACCACATATGAGCATATCAAAGTCACGTCAAAAACATGAAATACGAAGAGGTAAAAATAATGTAATCAAGAGCTGCGGAAAGTCATCAGACACAAGGAATAGGTGTTAAAGTTGGTAATAAACTTGAGAAAATGATTATTATTCGTTTGAGAGCCAAAAAGTGATAAAAAATGAACACCAAGAGAAGTCCCATCAAAAAGAACGTAAGCACAATCAAAACAAACACCGAACAGAAAGAGGAAAACAAAACGCAGACAAAGATAGAAATACGTTATCAGAGAGGCAAACTGAAAGATACACTCACTGTGTTCGTTTTACTTTTCAGATAGACAGAAAACCAACGTAGAACCCCCTCCCCCCCCCCTACCCACATAACTGCAACGGCTCACGTTGCCACAATTTAGAGCAGTATACCAAGAGCAAATGATTAGAAAAAAGCGAACTCAAAGTAAGCAAAAGTACATGGCAAGAGAGAGGACATGAAAACCAAGGCTAGGTGAAATGTCCAAGCTTTTGAAAACGACGAAAAGCGATAGCATCTACGCCACTGTGACCGATTTTTAGCCACATCATCAACAGCCTCCAACCATTGACTCGTGTTATCCCGAGGACCCCAATCAGGTACCTCCCTACACGGACCAGACCAACAGTCACGGACTTCACAAACTAGTGTCACGTCTTGATCTATGCACTCTAAACTTGTCACCAAATCAATACTACTTCGCTTAACATTGTAATTCAAGGTAGGCGGTGATTCGACATGCGCAATATATATCAAAGCTGCCTCAATTACACTGAAGGTTCACTACCTCATCGACTGACCTGCCCACCTCACCTAGTACTCTTCATTTGGCCCCTGCACTGTTCACACGGTTATACGACCAATGCCATGCTGCGAAGATCCCTGTGATTAGAGACCTTTAATCTTGTTTAGTTTAGTTTCAGTGGCCGTCTCAGAGTCGCGTAACAGTACAGAAAGGGCTGCAGCGCAGTATACTTGTTCTTTAATAGGCAGTCGGCTGTCTCGTTAGTTGGCTCCCGAGATGTATTTTGGTAAATGCCAAATGAGCCCTTCGTATATGAGCTGAGATTTCGTCGGCGACCAACCAATTTGAGCTGATGCAACTCCCCAAGTAGATGAAATGATCAACGGATTCTACTACTTCACTCCCTTTCCTTAAACTGGGAGAAGTAACAGTCCAGTCCTGAAGCACTGCCTTCCATTGGACATGTACTAAACGCATATCAAACATACTCAGCTTTTTGCTCAGAGCGTTCGGAAGGATTTTTGTTTTGCTTCCATACTAGTCTTGGATGAGAATTTCATCTGCATATTCTAAGACAGCTAGATGCCCTCCAGGGAGTAGATCAATCATTGTGGAGTCAGAGGTATTTCAGGTTATGTCCATTAGTAAATCTATAGCGAAGCTAAGTGGGAACGGTAACAGCGGACACCATTAGTTGTTGTCAATTTGGATGAAAACTCTCCATACGCCCTGACCCGGTTGTGTGAGGTTGAGTAGACAGCTTTGATTGGTATAACATACTTGCTTGTATTCAGGCATTACCACAATACCTATCGGTCAACATAGATGAATGGTGCCTTTAGGTCAGTCAATGAATATGGTACACATCGACTACTTCCGCTCCTTGTAATGGCCACAGCTAGCTGGAAACAGTTTTTTGTCACATCAGTGGGTTCGGATGAAGCTTCGGAAATCCGCTGGCTGCTGCTAAAATTTTGATATAGGTTACCTACTGTTTTCACTGTTGTTTCTACAGTAGTGAATATTACCCCCGGCTTCAACAGGAAGAGAATGGTTACCATATTCAGATATACACTTGGCGCTCTCATCTTCGAATCGAGCACATGGTTTCCCTGCTGTCCGCTCCTTGCAACCAACAAGTCACAGATATACATATACCTGTATCAACGCGTGACCGGAGTGCAAGAAGATACTGTGGGAAAAGCAGTAGTCTTTTCCAACGATGAGCCATAGCAATTTGATCTATTTATGTTCATCTTTGGTTTCATGTCAGTAGACGTCATGCGAGACAGTATCTCTCCTCATGCTTGCCAATAGTCCTGGCCAGAAACACGTGATTATCAGAATAAAGT